AAATAACCGAGTTTGGACCAGACAATCCAGTGATCAACGGCATGAGCATCGATCTACGCAAATGGGATACGATGACATGTGGTCAACGAGCCTGAACACCCGGTCCCGTTAGTCGCCTCTTACGACAAGCATGGGTTGCTGGAGTAAGGCGGTGTGGACATTGTCATGCCTGGTTCATCAGTCGTCTAACTGTGTTTACAAAACACCACCTGTCGTGGTTGATAAGGGTAGCTAGATTCTATTATCCTGAGTAGACTGGGGTCGAAGGCAAGTCACCCCCTATATCTCTTCAGGTGGACAGCAATAGCTGAGAACATAAAACAAAACCTGTGTTAAACAAACCTCTGTTAAACAAAACCTGTGTTAAACCAAAGGACATTATATCTACCGGAATTGAAATTTGGAATTTGTACAACATTTTGAAGCATTAGATCGGGTGCACCTTCACGCCAGTTGGGCACACATTATGCATAAACAAACTTCAAAACATACAAAATGTTTGAACACTGATCGTTTGGAGACCTTCACAACCTATATATCGTCTTCACATATATTTCCACTACCTTTTTAGTGTTGGTTAGCGTCACTCTCAGCTATATTCCAGCTATATGGCGGCGGTCTGTAAATCATCGAGTCTGGACCAGACAATCCAGTGATCAACAGCATGAGCATCGATCTACGCAGTTGGGATACGATGACATGTGTCAACCAAGTCAGCGAGCCTGACCACCCGATCCCGTTAGTCGTCTCTTACGACAAGCATGGGTTGCTGAAGACCAATTCTAACATGCATCTTCACGGGTTCACATACACTCTAATTGGCAGTACTTCATCATAACACAACCACGCCTTTGTTTCATAAAGTAAACTGGCAACATGTGTATGTGATGTCAAGGAACCGAATATCCCGAATACTGACCTGTATTGTACAGAGCAGTGTGTATGTTGTCCCAGCGTAATAGCAGCCCCTTCTCCCAGATAACTCCCGTAACTCACAAGGCAGTGTCACATACCGCCCACAACATGGACACAAAGGCCAGCTTAAACAATGGAACAGCTTCAGCTATTACAAAACACGAGTGAAACGGTTTAGAACAATGTAAATAAGGACAGTGTGAAATGAAAACAAGTTTTTAAAGCGATATACAAGGGTTAATTGATAGGATCTCCGCCTCATATAGAAGGAACTGCGGAATTGCGACATATTTTGAAGTGGTTTTATGGATCATTCACAAACCTTGATTCAGTAAAGTGAATTGTTTCGATGAGACAAGTCAGTCAAATTAGAAAAGCTCTGTTACATTTGGAGTATGGACAAACTTGAACATACAGTTATCAAGTAACTTACAAAAGGTAACGACTGTGCTGGCCATTTCATATTCGTATGGAGGATGTAGGCAAAAATTCTTCATGCTTTTTCTGTTTGAAAAATAAAATGATGTTTTTTTCTCATTAAAATTATCAGGTTCTGTATTTATAGCTTTTGTCTCCAAACAACATCCGAGTAGCCACTATCCACACTCCAGAATATCAAATGTCAAATGTCGGGGCATTGACACTCAAAGCAAGCCATGAAGACATGTTGCTGAAGATCAATTCTACCATGGATCTTCACGGGGAGTATGTAAAAGAAGCAGAACTTAAACTAGTTGTGACGTACCTTTTAAAAAAAAAACAGTATCAACATAAGCGTTTGTTAATAACAAACATTTGCATATCAGTAATTAGCGTAACACAGTTCAAGTAATGGAGGGTGGGGTGGGAGGTGGGTGGTGGTGGAGGGGGCTATTGTAGTTGTGCGAAGCGAAAATCTGACATTCAAGACGATTTCATAAGGTACAGGAAAACGTCCGGTGGTAGCTGTACACATAATGGGAAACGGTGTTGCTTTATCTTGAACAGAAGGATTCATTGCCATAAGTGTAGTGGTATACATATATATACCACTCAAAAGAAGTAAAGGAACACCCGATTTGTTCATAACAGAAAACGTATAGTCATGCGAACAGATCAGGTCTTCTTTTGAGTGGTATTTATACCACACAGAGTACGGTGCGGTATCTGTATCCCATAATAACACACAGCACCTACCCATATATGGCTACGATACCACACATCTTACAGTGAAGATTCTTGTACTTTTGTTCTGTTCAGGGACCGTTCATAATTTACGGCGTGTGTGTGTGTGTGTGTGTGTGTGTGTGACTCTCTCTCTGTGTGTGTGTGTGTGTGTGTGATGATGTTAGAGAGGAGGGGTTGTCACCCATTTTGTTCTGGGGAGCTAGGGGGGGTCATCAATTTTGTACACATGTACTGGGGGGAAGGGTCAGCAATTTTGTGCATAAAACTATGTTTAAAATTATGCTTAGAAATTATGGGAAGGGGGGTGATCATTGTCAGAGGAGCACGTGGTCCGTTGTCAAGGCTACAAGTTGTCCGACTTCCATTTTTGTGGAAGCTGCGGTGGCTGAGTGGGTTAGGTGGCTGATTTTGTGTGCTGGCGATTAGTTGTCTGACTCCAACAGTTTGGGTTCGAATCCCGGATGGGCCCCAACTGTGTGGATTGGTGTTCATGATATTAACCATTGGGTTGTCTGGCCGGTACCCTATTATTTCCAGGAAGACGATATTTAACTGGCGTATTGAGGAGTGCGGAGTGCGGCGTCAAAGAAAGAACAAAACACACAGTCCAAAGAAATAACGCAGGGGATGAAAATCTGATGACGGGGGATATCTTGAGTGCTTTATATTACTAAGAACATTTCTGGAGATGAGTCAGGAAGTGTGTTGTGTATTAAATCAAGAATGTGTTCACAATGGCCGAGGAAATGTATGTAATAGTTGTAATGTCAGTACGTGCATTTACTATGTGCACGAGATAGAGAATGGCTGACTGGCTGAGTATGGTTTTACGCCGATTATAGCAATATTCCAGCAATATCACGGCGGGGGACACCAGAAATGGGCTTCACAACTTGTACCCATGTGGGGAATCGAACCCGGGCCTACGGCGTGACGAGCGAACGCTTTAACCACTAGGCTACCCCACCGCCCCAGAGAATGGAGGTTATTGCTTAATGTTGTTAAGATGAAAGCAAGTGTATGTATTCAAATATCAGAATTGCGAGGGAACGTTTGGACTACACGCTGTAAATAATCTTCATTCTTTTCCTTTCATTAACTTTGTGGGTTTGCAGTATATTTGGAGCAGGTTCAACGGAGCCGACTAAGGTGCTGAATTCGCTATGGGGAGTTACGTCCCTTTAGTGTGCCAGAAGCACATGTGGGCTCGTGGGTTCGTGTGAGTGAGTTTAGTATTACGTCGCCGTTAGCAATATTCCACCATTATCACGGCGAGGGACACCAGAAATGGGCTTCACACATTGTACCCAGGTGGGAAATAGAACCGGGTTTTCGGCGTGACGAGCGAACGCCTTAACCACTAGGCTACCCCACCGCTTCCTCGCGTGTTCGAAATAACTTTGCCGAATTGTATACACGTATAGGTTTGTCATAAACACATCTGTGATCGTGGTTTCACCAAAGCTGTGAACCTCGATAACCTGCATCACCTAGTGCGTATCTCACACAAAATATGTTAGACCAAACGTACGAATAACAAAACACTTTGCGGTTTTCATACGAGATCCACTGGAAACAAATCAGCTTCTAAAATATAGTCACTTGAACTTCGAATTGGTGGAAGCTACGCACTAAGATCGGCAATTAAGTACATTAGAGTATTGAGTATTAACGTCAAACTTGTCTAAAACTGTGAACTTCTCATAAGATCAGTGACGTGAGTGATGGGATGATCTTGTCCGTTGATTAAGATCGTACTCCGTAATGTTCCAAGGCTGCCCCGCGAACAGTCAGAGTGAGTGAGTGAGTTTAATTTTACGCCGCACTCAGCAATATTTCAGCTATATGGCGGTGGTCTGTAAATAATCGAGTCTGGACCAGACAATACAGTTATCAACAGCATGAGCATCGATCTGCGCAATTGACAACCGATGACATGTGTCAACCAAGTAAGTGAGCCTGACCACCCGATCCCGTTAGTCGCCTCTTACGACAAGCATTGGTTACTGAAGGCTCATTCTAACCCGGACCTTCACGGGTCGTTAACAGCCAGGATATTCTGGGGCTGAGATACTCCATGCTCACGAGACTGACCGCTGCGATTTAGTCCGCTTTCAAAGCTTTTAAGGCGAGGTGACGACGTGCATGTGTGTATATGCGTGTGGCTGATTGTACTACCCATGGTTTTATAGTGCTAACCCACCGAGATACCATGCCGCAGTGAAGCATGAATACTTCACTCAGACACATTACACTGACTCCGAGCCGACCAGTCCTTGTTGTACCCATTAATGCCTAGCGCCAGGCAGGGACCAACAAGTACCATATTTTAACGTCTTTTTGGTATGACGCGGCCGGGGATCGAGCCCGCGACCTTCCGATCTCCGGGCGCTCTAATCACTGCACCACGGACGCGGTTTCAAATCATGACGTACTGATCACTTGCGGCTTTCCTCACCAAAACCCTTATCAGAGGTGTCAACAAAGTAGTCCGACTTTTTTCGGAAGTTGCGGTGACTGAGCGGGTTAGGCGGCTGACTTTGTGTGTTGGCGATTAGGTGCCTGACTCCCGGATGGGGCTCAACTCAACAAAAATAGTAGAACCTGCACTTTACTAAGAAAGTGTAATCCCAAATATAACATATGTTCCATGACATACTGGCCTGGAATCTATATGGTGTTAAACTTGATGGATTTCCGTATATTCCATAACATATGGTGAACATATACATAAGGATGGTTCAGTTGGCTGACGTTCCGCACTTCGTCGTGCAGAGTTGCGTCCCCTTGGTGGGTGAATAATTTGACCTTGGTTCAACTCGCATGTACAAAATCACGGAAAACACCCAGTGTAGTTCTTCCCAAACCGGCGTTAAACTGAACACATTCATCCATGCATGTAGAGGAACAAGCTGTAGTCACATCTACAACCTTTATTTCATACCTCCATACACCAGGTCAACAGTGTACCCAGGAGGAACTCATGGGTTACCGTGCGTAGTAAACATTGAGAAATACCATCAGTTTCCACACAAATCTCAACAAAAGGCATACAGTTCAATTGATGTCAACAATACTTCATCAGATTTTCTAGAAATACTGTTGTTCGCACTTTCTCACACATGCAGTGAATGTTTGAATAAAAGGCACAACTCAAAATGTATACCCAACAGTAAAATTAAAAAGATACAAATACGTAGGTTTCAATGATAAAGGAGACTGTATTACCTATTTGTATCGGTCGAAATATAATTTATATTAGATAAATATATAATGTTTTGAGATGCTTACAAGACATTGTTTGCAGAGGTATTTAGTCCCCTTGATAAATAAAAACATCCACCCATGGATGGAACAGCATTTCCAAGTACAACAACATTAACTTCAAATAAATGCAAACTAAATTTTTAGTCGTGTTATATGTTTTACATATTTACTCCACCAGTATTATATTCAACAAATACACTAACCCAAACATCTGGGTATTTCTCACGCTAACATTCACAACAATAAAACAGAAACAAATTATAGCACTTTTTGTACTTTTCTCAACATTTTGAAATGCGAGACCTAGTAACAGATTCATGATGTCAATTTCAGACATCCACTCTCTCTCCAACTGTAGATGCAGGGCCGAAATACGAATGTATTCTAACTTCTCCAGAGGATGACCAGGAGTTGCAATCACCGTCTTTTTAATGGCTTTGTTTCGGTATGTGTTGGGCCGTGAAACTTACGGTTTAAAGAATACATTTGACAGTTGACTGACATTTGACAGACAGCAGTTGTCAAAATCATGCATAAACTAATAATGAAATTATGGATACCCCTTTTAAAAAACCTGGATCTGCCTTGCATTTGTGTACGGGTACAAGCAAGGTGGAACAGACGTTGAGATGCATCCTCTGTCTCCATGTACCCTACTCTCAACACTTTCACTATGAGAACCCTGAGAAGATGTTGCAGCATCAAGCCTTGTCTTTCAGTCATTAGTGTTCCATCACCTTCTGCAGGCTCTCTAGGAACAGTGCACCGGTAAGAACACCAATCTCTATCCAATGTTGCGTCTGCATCAGCCCTTTCTGTGACATAATCTCCTTGGCATTGCTTCATCAAAAACTTGCTCGGGACTTTGCCTGATAATTTAGATCCTGTGACCATAAAGCTAGGGTTCTCCATCACCTCACTGTACACTTCCAAAAACTGTGAAGCCTCAGTTTCGTCTAACACACGAGAGTCGTATGATAAGGTCACTGTCATGCGTGTCTGCGGTCGCCCATCGTCGCCTAGTGTGATGCGAGAAGTCCCTACCGCCATGATGGCAGACTGGGGAGGGTTAATGACGGCCGAGAACTCGCTGATTCCAAACATTCCAAGATTGGAGATGCTGTAAACAAAAATGTTTGTGAGGTTTAAAGAGTGAGTGAGTTAAAATATTAAATGTGACAAGGGGGTTTAAAGAAGTATTTGCAATATTCAGGATTTGTCAGGAGACACCATGATACACTTTGTACTATCACCAAACAATTTACCACAAGGCTACCCAACAGCCCATGAAGAAACGAGTATGAATCTGAGGAGGAAAAGTATGAAAATAAGGGAATATATAACGGAGTGAGTGAGTACACTGCTTTTAGCAATATTCCAGCAACATTACCGTGGTAGACACCAGAAATGGGCTTAACACACTGTACCCATCTGGTTGTGATATAAAGCAATTTAAATCAGGACTGTGTCTAAAGCTGACTTGGCTTCTTTTCTACAATTTAACAATTACATACACTAGGACTGAGCAAGTTTATTCAAAATCCATCAGACTGCATCAACCACTCACCTAAAACTTCCACCCTGGAATTCATGTAATTTGAGCTTTCCTTCTCGAGCTCGGCCTGCTAAATCCTGAAGAAGAAAACAACGAAAAACTGTTAATTTGGTACTTTAGTCTGAGTAGTGCCGGAAGCAGTACTTAAAATCTCCATAACTTGCATTAAGACATAGAAGAGTTCTCCCCCCTTGCAGTTTATTATGCACATAGATAACATGGGTCAACAATGTAAAGCACTTTGAAACATAATGGAATTTAGATCCTTATTTGATATGAAACTTTTGAAGTAGTTACTATGAAAATAATTAAAAACAACTGAATACATTCACATGGAATAAGAAATTAACACCAACCTAAAATTGATTTGCTGGGATGAAACCTACCCTGACTGTAGATGATATTTCGTCTACTCCCAGAGCTGATGCATTTTGAACAATTGGGGTAATGAGTCCATTGTCTGTTGCCACGGCAACAGATATGTCTACACTAGAAAGGAGTTGAGCACCATCGTTCTGCCATATAGAGTTCACTCTGGGGACACGCTGGAACAGATTGGTGCAAGTAATCCATTACTTGTGTTGTCATAAAGTTAAAACATGTCTTGAACTTAAGTCAGTCCTAATACCGAAACAGAATCTGCACATGAGTGAGTTTTGTGTTTGGTAGTCATGTTGCTTTATTTGCTTGTAAGAACAATTATACATCTTATTTACGAATGTGTCTTTTCTGCATGAACTCTGCCACAAGACAGTTCATATAAACAATGTCTGATTACTTTCTGGGCCACGTTCCATAAAGGGATGCTAGCACATATGTGACCTTAACTCCCATACTTCAACCCAGGATTACAATCATCATAGCACTTAGGTGACCTTAACTCCCATACTTCAACCCAGGATTACAATCGTAGCACTTATGTAACCTTAACTCCCATACTTCAACCCAGGATTACAATCATCGTAGCACTCATGTGACCTTAACTCCCATACTTCAACCCAGGATTACAATCATCGTAGCACTTAGGTGACCTTAACTCCCATACTTCAACAAAGGATTACAATCATCGTAGCACTTATGTGACCTTAACTCCCATACTTCAACCCAGGATTACAACCATCGTAGCACTTAGGTGACCTTAACTCCCATACTTCAACCCACGATTACAATCATCGTAGCACTTAGGTGACCTTAACTCCCATACTTCAACAAAGGATTACAATCATCATAGCACTTATGTGACCTTAACTCCCATACTTCAACCCAGGATTACAATCATCGTAGCACTTAGGTGACCTTAACTCCCGTACTTCAACACGGATTACAATTTACAATCATCGTAGCACTCATGTGACCTTAACTCCCATACTTCAACCCAGGATTACAATCATCGTAGCACTTATGTGACCTTAACTCCCATACTTCAACCCAGGATTACAATCATCGTAGCACTTATGTGACCTTAACTCCCATACTTCAACCCAGGATTACAATCATCGTAGCACTTAGGTGACCTTAACTCCCATACTTCAACCCAGGATTACAATCATCGTAGCACTTAGGTGACCTTAACTCCCATACTTCAACACAGGATTACAATCATCGTAGCACTAAGGTGTTTGATTACCTGCAGAGCAATACTAGCTGCCTTGATGATAAAATCATTTATCGAAACTTTAATGCCTTCATCTGAAACAAAAGTTGACATGAACAGACCTTATCACAAAATATAAACATCAACAGTTTTTAACAACAATATGTGTCTCCGTAGCAACTGTCTGTAAACTTCATTATAGAATACAACAGTTAAACATATCAAAGTTCCTTGCTGTTTATCAGTTTCACATCAAGTTCTTTTACAGGTTTTCTGGTCAACACATAAGAATACTACTGTGTTTAGAGCTACTGACTAAGCTATCTAGTATGACTTGCCTGCAAGTTGTTTCCGGAGTCGTGACACAGGCCCTATGTTCATGTCCATCGATGCATAGGAATGGGGGATTGTTGTCTGAAACAGGAAGACAACACAGTGATGATTATATGACAGGAAACTTGGAATTCATGGATCTGTTTCAGTAATGTATCACAAAACTTAGTATATTTCCTAGTGCTAGAAATTAACTGATACAAATATATTTCTTTGGGTTCAAGGCTGTGGGACCCATGTTACTTGTCATGTGACGAGGCATAAAAAAAAAAACAATCAGAGACAAGTGGTGTTCAGAATAGCTGTCAACAGTAAGTGAGTGAATTTAGCTTACGCCGCTTTTAGTAATATTCCAGAAAAATCACGGCAGGTGACACCAGAAATAGGCTTCACACATTGTACCCATGTGAGGAATCGATCCTGGGTCTTCAGCGTGACAAGCGAACGCTTTAACCACTAGGCTACCCCATCGCCCAGCTGTCTACAGAATTGATGCTATTTTGGTAAGTTAATGGTGATTAGCAACAGCATAAATCGCTGTAGATTTCACTGCGGACTTTTCATATTATTTATAGGCGTAACAATGTGACAACTCCACATACCTTAGATTCTGTGAGTCTCTTGGCGATAGTTTTCCTCATACTTGTGTTGGGGATGTCTGTGAAAGGCTCACCCTCCATGGGGGCAGGGCCTGGGGGGTGGGGGCAGCAGTGGCTGGGGTAGCTGATGATACTGGTGATGTGGTTGCCAATAGTTCCCTCTTAGGGAGGTTCTTGGACTTGATGTAGTTCAACACATCACTGCAAGAATTAACATATATATATGCCTCATGAAACCAATAAAAACATTCAAATTCAAATTCAATCAATGGCTGGAATGTAGAACGGGTTTTAAATGACGCAGAAATGAGCATCAAGGATTCACGAATGCATATAATAGACATTAAAAAGAAAAATAGTGCATTCCATGGTATACACAATAATTTTCAGTCTACCGAATACTGTTTCACTGTTTCTATAAAAATCTTGTCCAAGTGGCAATGCCTGGTCCTTAGCGTTCCTGTATATAATCTCACCCCTTGGTGACCCAGCTGTGTGGGCCGGTGCCAGTGACACTGGCTGGGCTGATTCCATACTCCTCCGCCAGCTTCCTCACAGATGGACCCACCCCAGCAGCATGGAGGCTGCAACAGACACTCCGTACAGTCAACCGCGTTACTCAGTAAAACATAGGGTCTCTGAATGGCATTTAAAAGTTATACACATATGGAAGAGAGTTTTATGGATGTCCTCATAATAGTGAGTATGGTTTTATGCTGCTTTTAGCAATATCCCAGCAACATTACGACGGGGAACACCAGAAATGGGCTTCACACATTGTAACCATGTAGGCAATCGAACCGTATGACGAGCAAACACTTTAACCATGAGGCTACCCCACTGTCCTCCTCTTAATAAAGAAGTTGACATAGAACTATCTTCCTTCAATGAAACATATATTCCATGCACAGTTTTAAAATTTACTTTATTACTGACGTAAAACTGAACTCACCAATATTCCAGCTATAAGATGGAGACATGTGTAATTGAAACAGGACAATACAATCTTGTGATGGATATTATACGTAATTATCCCTGTTGTGTGGGGTACAATGACATACAATGAACAAAGTCACCAAGTCTAGCCACCCTCTCAATTGAATCACTTTGTATGATCTGTGCTGGTTAGCTATTGTGACCCTGAATCCTGGTGTGGCCGACCATACGACTGGCATATCACTGTCCCAAATGCAGGGTTCAGGTTAATGACTTTTTACAGAACAAGTGACGTCATGGCCAAAAGATACCTATTAAAGCATTTGGAAACATTTTGTATTATTGTTGTAAGTAAATATATGAAAGACAAGTACATGATTGAACAAAATGGCTGTTACTTCAATGCATTGAGCTTTTTGCAAATCAACATAAAACACATACTTCTTATTTATAACACTTTTCACAAAGAAAAAGAAACAAAAACATACCAGCTGATACATATACTTATTGAACAAAGCGATAGAGTGAGTTTAGTTTTACGCCGCACTCAGCAATATTCCAGCTATATGGCAGCAGTCAATCCAGTGATCAACAGCATGAGCATCAATCTGCGCAATTGGGAACCGATGACATGTGTCAACCAAGTCAGCGAGCCTGACCACCCGATCCCGTTAGTCGCCTCTTACGACAAGCATGGGTTACTGAAGATCAATATTCTAACCTGACCTCCACGGGTTGAACAAAGCGATAGAAGAAGTAGGTGATAAGGCACTCACTCCTTGCTAGACACCTCCACTGACGCTGGTGTTGCTGCTGCAGCAGGTGGAGAAGCAGGGCTTGGTGTGCTGGGAGCCGGAGCCGGGGCAGCAGGAGTAGGTGGACCTGTGTCTGGGGCAGTGTGGGCGGGAATCTCCACATTCTGCCAGTCATCCCCCTCATCCACTATCACGGCGATCAGCGTCCCGATCTTTACATCAGCGGTGTTGTCTGGGACCTGCAGTTGTAGGAAAACTTGATAAGACTCAATGTACATTTCAAAAGTCAGTCTTACAGTTTCAGGTTGAGGAAGTGAATGAAATCCATTCAGTCTGTGAGTTATAAACCGGATGATACTAACCTGGTTTCTACTTCTGTAAGCATGGTAAGTAGTGAGTGTGTGTAAATAAACTTTTTCTCTTTGGGCAGTTGGGTAGAGTAGTGGATAAGCGTTTGAAGGCCTCAGTTCAATTCATCACATGGGTTTGGTTTGGTTTGTTGTTTTACACCACACTCAGCAATATTCCAGCTATATGGCAGCGGTCTGTACATAATCGAGTCTGGACCAGACAATCCAGTGATCAACAGCATGAGCATCAATCTACGTCTGATGGCGAACTGGGATCACGCCATTCGTGAACACTGCGATGATGTGTCAACCAAGATCACCTGATCTCGTTAGTTGCCTCTTACAACAAGCATGGGTTACTGAAGGCCAGTTCTAACCCGAATCTTCACGGGTCCCCACATAGGCACAATGTGTGAAGCCCATTCAGTGGTCTCCCTGACCGTGAAATTGCTTGAATATCACTCAACCACTCACCAGAATTTTGGCCAGGATGCCATCCTCCTCATTCTCCATGCTAACCACAGCCTTGTCTGTCTGGATATCACACAAGACGTCCCCCGGTCTCAGCGCATCACCTGCATCACAAGGAAACTGTTCCACACAACGCTCCACCAAGGTTCACACCAGTAATGCATGAATTCAAACACATGATGTTTACATTATATTACATCCCTTGCACAAGTCATATTATACACATGATTTTAACGACAATTCATTTGGACATGCATCATTTGTATGGTGAACACATGCTGAAAGAACCACTGTTTACAATCGCCAGAGTGAGTCTTAAATTCTTTATTTTACATTAGTAAGTGAAACACTAACAACAAATTACGTCTCAACTTTCCATAATTGCAGAGTTAAAATGCTCTCTACACTGTTGGGATGCAAGTTGACCATCTTACCATGGTTCCCAACATATTGGTCATGCAAATAAGTGACGTGTACTGTTTACCTTCTTTCTTTAACCATTTGACGATTGTGCCCTCTGACATTGTTGGAGACAGCGCTGGCATCAAGAGTTTCATTGCATCTACAAAATAAGAAAGGTTAAATGAAAACAAAGTTGAATGTACACCTAATGTAAAATATAAACAAACTCAAACATGTCAAGATCTGTGATTGGTCTTCACATACAATAGACAAAGTAATGGTCTATTCATTGACCATTTCTAAATTATATTTGAATCCCTGTTTTTGTTAGGAACTCATCTCATGCACAAGCATGTTCAGGGGTTCAAAACCCCATCGCCCGACGCAAGTCAGTTTTCACTTCGGGCAATCAAATAATGGTATCTTACTTGTCTGTGGGCTACTAGATAATTTCCACTTATGGTTTCAAACTGCAAATAAACTTGGATTTAACTTCATATCTGCTCAAAATGTAGCTATTAAATTTTGCAATGATAATAAAGTAGAGTTATCTTTCTTTGCTATTTATCACTTTTCAATAAATAGTCCAGTAAACATTAACATCAAATACCATGTTGATTTATTCTTTCATAATTATATCATCATGATTATGTCATAAATTCGGGGCAAGTGGAAAATTAGTCAGGACAAGTTACTTTCTTAAAGTCACTTGCCCTGTGGCAAGTGTTTTTAAATTCTTTTTGAACCCCTGATGTTAATAATTTTCTAGTGATGTGAAATACATCAATCTCTTTCAGATTAACTTTGAATTTTTCCTTCAAGTTACTGCTCAATAACTGATTGATATTTAGTTAGATTATTGATCTCTAAGATCAATATTAATAGCCAGCCCTAATTTTCATAACTATTTCAAGGGGATGCCAGACAGTAATAGAGGAGCAATGCATGGCCATGACTTAACAACGTAAAGTGTACAGACTTTATAGCCTTCCTTAGACTAACGCTTAGTCCCTGAACATATATAATATTGATAGTAACAAATAAGCCCATTTAAATTGAAAAGGAGCCCCTGTCAGGCCAGTGAGTTGGGAGATTCAGGCCTGGGGAAATTGTAGACTTGCTTCATTTAGGGCTTTAGCATTGCAGATAGGGCTTGACAGTTGGGAACATAATGTGGTTCAGGGACTGTGAGACAGACTAAACCTTCCTGTCTACTGATAAACAACTAATATAACCAGTAAAACAACTTGGCAGTGTTACGTTTCATTGCTTGATTTAGATCATTCAAAATTCACTTGATCTTCCAACTGACAGATGCAAATCCAGCTAGTTAATTGCGATATCACCACGAACTTACCCTGAAGACAATGCAATGTTGCATGAACTTGTCAAATCCAAAACGTTTAAGTAACAGCATGGTAATAACTGATACCTTTACTCAAGGACAGCAATATGACATTGACAGTACTTCAATTACAAACTCGACAGTGCATTGCTTTATTGGTCAGGATATTCTCCATATAGAAGATTTGGGTGCATACCATAATTTACTGTTTGGAGGTGGATCTGGCGTTGCAACAGATGCGGTAGCTGACGGTAAGATATACATTTGAAGGTGTTGACAACCCTAGAAAGGTTGCCAAACCTCAGAATGGCAGACGCCATTTTGCCGGTGCGCTGGGAGTCTCGCTACAAATCTCGTGTCATAGTGTTTGCATTATTTTCATTTTCAGTATCACACTTAGCACACACAGTTTTTTATGTGGCTAAACATATATCTAATGACAATTATCTATTATTGTAAGAAAAATGTAAGTTAATCTGGGATCCGTCTCTTTGTTGTATTTGAGCGCCTCTGTCGTGTTTCGAAACCATGGTTTTGGTAAATATTGTGACCACAGATCTACATTTATTTGCTGATTGTTCGGGTAAGTACAGATACCACTTCTTACTGAACATATAATTTATAAATGTAATGTATAATTAATAAATGTATACTTAATAAACAAATAATATATAAATAAGGTGTATAATATTAACGTGTTTGGTTACATTTAAGAATTGAATGTCAGTTTGTGTGTTTGCACTGAAAATGAACGATGTCAAAGCGGTGTTCAAACTCGTGTGAACGAGCGAGTTTACGAGCGAGTTCACGCGCAGTTTGAACAACGCTGACATCGTTCGATTTTCAGTCTACTAAATATTCAATTCTTATAATTCACACTTTGAAGTTTACACATACGTTTTCCACCCACTTGTAGATGATCATTGTTTAGTGTGTTTTAATACCTGTAAAATGTTGTAATGCCATTCGGTTCAAGAACGTACGTATTGCAGCGATGTTTGTATACACAGCGATTTTTCTTTTACACATGTATCCCAACCCTTGAAGAAATAGTTCTCAAAGTATTCGATCTTTAAAATATAACAACAAATTCGTTATGAGGGTTTGAAACTGCTTTAATAAGTATAATCAATAACAGTATCAAACAGAAACAAATATCAGAAGCAATAACAATACCATTTTAACAAACTGGCATTGTACCTTTTCACTTGTAAATACCTTGTTTGACCGCGTAATAATACACTGACCGACTTCGAAGTTGTGCGGCGTGGCGAATAGGAAACAGATCTTGTTGTATTCTATTTATTTGTGATTGTTTATTGTGAAATTTATTGAGCAGTTGTTAAACAGATCTCGGGGCAGAAAACCGCCGGATGAACCCGCAAACTGCGAGACATTAAACTCCTGTGAAAAGGAACAATGTTCGGCAATCCGTTTGGTAGTGACATTGCCAAACTTGGGGTGACTTGAAACAGGTTCGTTCGCGAAATTGGTATCACCAATTATTGGGGGTCCTTGAAACCGAAGCGAAAAACGTTCACACACGTATGAACGGTGTTTACACAAGTATGAACGATTAGAGGGTTCAAGAGTAATGAACCTTGAAATTTAGATCACATGACCGCTCTCTCAACCAACCAACGTTCGGGAATCTGTGTAAACTTGAAAGCACGAAATTTGGCGCTATATTAATGGACACATTATTATTATTAAGACGAGTTGATGTTTAAACTCATAAACAGTGCCGTAAACACACAAAGCGCTTCGCTAAAACGCATCAAAGTTGCCTCCGCACACTACGCGAAAAACCAGTCCAAATATTTCGGCCTTGACATTCAAGCGATCATCTTTTCGCACATGTCAGTGTTTACTATCGCGATCACATTGTGATTTCAACAGCAAAGCCGAGTGGTATCTGTGTGACGTGTCAGCCAAGGTCATGGATCCCAAATATTCTCCGGTTAGCTAAAGACAGGACTAGTGTAGTATGCATTAAGTTTAAAACGTTTAAAACCAACCAACAGGAGTTGCGAACCGCCCGATTCTTTCGTATTACGATCAGGGTTTTACGAGAACGAAGCATTTATGAACGTAGAATAGCACATATTTTACCTCTGAGGGATGCACAATATTAACATGTGTACCATGTTACTTACAAGATTTATAACGGTCATGTAATCAGAGTAATTAGGGACCGTTCCCAATTTATAGGGGGGGTGGGGGGTGGGGGAGAAAGATTTTTGGTGATGATGATTTTTATGCAGAAGCATGTACAATGTGAATGACCACCCCTAAAATGAATGTACAAAGTAAGTGACACCCACCCCTTTGCATATTATGTACAATATTGGAATATTGCTGAGTGGGACGTTAAACAACAAACCCAAAAATGGTCACATGGACTTTTGGTATTACCTTCCCAGGAACATCCACGGAACTTGATTCCAGAGCTGTGTAGACTGTTCTACAACAATGGCTGGGCAACAGGCACAGGCGGTGGAATCAGCATCAAGCTGGGGTAACATTCATGTTTGTTACTGTATGACCTACAACATGGCAGATCACATGAAAACTAAACACCTCTCTTTGCATTCAGTCAAAAAACAAGCCGATACTTTTTAGTAAAGATTGCAAAACTACATAATTTGTAACTTATGACCAGCTGATGACCCACTTTCCCCTAAACTTTCCCATGTTCCTAAATATGAAGTTTTATTTATTTATAAAGAAACACTGTCGTATGACAAACATTTTTTGCACTTGATTGCAATTTTTTGCACACTCCATGCCAATCTAACAGTAGCGTGTAAGATTCTAAGGCAATGCTAGCCATGGTCACCAGACTTTGGAACTGTCTCTTTATTCTTATGACCCAAACAGGTCACTTGATCCATCAACATAATGTTTTCTTTATAACTGTCTAATGAAATAAAACGAAAAGATAGAATCTTCTCTCCCTGTGTTGTCATTTTTTAAATATTCAAAACACCTGTCTGTTACATACAATAAAATACAGATTGACTTATGACAAACATGTCAGTGTAGATGATGATGTTATTCTGATTCCAGGAAATGAATCCTGTATTTGAATGCCTATAGTCCGTTTGGCTCAAAAGCGGACTGATGAATTGCAATCTAACTCGAAAACTAATAAACATATAACACTCAATGAAACGCTGATTATAATCAAAACATCAGACCAACTCTGAGATTTGTTTGCAGAATTTATGTCCTAAAATTAAAAAAGTTGTTTAACAAACTATCATTAAACTATTGACACAGTTCACTATTTGTTACGAGGGAGGAGTGCAGAGAAAGGGACAGCCAGGTGTTAGGGAAGTGCCGACAAAGTTATTGATTCATTAACCTGTGCTGTGCCGTCTCCATCTTTTCTCGCACACCTGGCTGTCACTTTCTCTGCACTCCTCCCTCGTAACAAATAGTGAACTGTGTCAATATTTTAATGATAGTTTGTTAAACAACTTTCTATTTTTAGGACATAAATTCTGCAAAAACTCACAGAGTTGGTCTGACGTTTTGATTATGATCAGTGTTTCATTGAGTGTTATATGTTTATTAGTTTTCGAGTTAGATTGCAATTCATCGGTCCGCTTTTGAGCCAAACGGACTATAGTGATATACAACATTTAATGAAAGGACGCTACTTGCCTTTCATAACTAAACTCACTGGTCGATTGCTAACCTCTGTATGCAAAGAAGATTTTATTTTACTAAGAACAGACACTGGGTACGTGTATCTGGTGTGGATTTGTATTGTATGTTGTTTGTTATGATATGTTTTATATTTCTCTTTGATATTTATGACCAAGGCAGTTGATATTGAAATGAAGTTGGTGTTTAAATTTGTTGTTTTGTATTGGTACTGGTTGTACATGGCACTGAAGAGATGGTCAAGAAGTACCAGCAGATTAATTTATATCACCGAGAGACTTTTGAATAATAAGAATCATTTTCACTGAGTGTTTTGAAGTTTCTTGAACGTGTCTGTTCCCAGGGAGGAGATATACATCGCTCCATCAGGTGTACAGAAAGAACGGATTCAGGTAACTCTGACATTTCTATGGCAGACAATATTTCAGTGGTGGATAGATTTCTGTTGTACAAGCATTTCAGTGTTAAAATATTTCCATACTTCAAAGAGCAGGGGCGGATACAGCTTTTTGAGAAAGGGAGAGTGCACAGTTCATTTTCACCCGTTTTCTCGAGAGTTTCAATGGTCATTTAATAAACTTATAGGACAAACAGGGGGTGTGCACCCCTGCACCCTACCCTGGATCTGCCTATGAAGTGAATAGAAAATGCTTACTTATAGCTACAAAAACTTACTGGCATCACACCAAACATGGCAGAATGTTCAAATAATTTCAAGAACAAAATGCAAACGAATGATCTTTTTCATTATGAATCTTTCTTCTTGCCAAGAAGAAATTTTCACACACAAAACCCTGCAGTCCAAGAAAGCAAACAGGCCTAGTTGTCGGGTGGTGCACATAGTAACTTGCATCAATGTACTCTTGGATTTATTACATCATGCTTTCTTCCAGCCTGACGACCTGTTCGTCCAGACGATTGACAATGAAGATATCACAGAGCCTCCGCCCAGTAAAAAACTTAAGAAGAGCCAATGCACACCTCTCTTCATGAATGCCTTCACAATGAGAAGTAGGTGTTAGTTGTCTGGATGTATTCCTACACCAACTAGAGTTGACTTCAAACACAGATAGTGTTCAAGGTTTTGATTTTTAAACATGAGTCCTGTTACTTTGGTCAGTGTGTTGATGTGATGGAGGAAGGGTGGGAAGAATTTCCGCATCCTCACTTCACATCCAGATGGTACAGAATCACTGTTGTTGTCAGTGGCTGTTATTATGAATTCCTTCTCTTTAATTATCTGTTGTCAAGACTGTCCTTGATATTGTCCTGAATGGCCTTGATATTGTTCTGAATGTCCTTGATATTGTTCTGAATGTCCTTGATATTGTTCTGAATGTCCTTCATATTGTCCTGTCCTTGATATTGTCCTTGATATTGTCCTGAATGAATGTCCTTGATATTGTCCTGAATGAAATGATTGTCCTTGATATTGTCCCAAATGAATGTCCTTGATATTGTCCTGAATGAATGTCCTTGATATTGTCCCAAATGAATGTCCTTGATATTGTCCTGAATGAATGTCCTTGATATTGTCCCAAATGAATGTCCTTGATATTGTCCCAAATGAATGTCCTTGATATTGTCCTGAATGGATGTCCTTGATATTGTCCCAAATGAATGTCCTTGATATTGTCCTGAATGAATGTCCTTGATATTGTCCTGGATGATTGTCCTTGATATTGTCCTGAATGTCCTTGATATTGTCCTGAATGTCTTTGATATTGTCCTGAATGTTCTTGAAATTGTCCTGAATGTCCTATTGTTCTGTGACAGATGCAGGTGCAGTGATACACAGCCACTCCAAACATGCTGTCATGGCAACGCTCATGTTTCCAGAGAAGGAGTTCAGGATCTCTCACCTGGAGATGATCAAGGGAATCAAGAAAGACAGCTCTGGTATGTGAGGCCAGCATTTCCATACAAACGATCATATGATACAGCTACCAACACTCAAATCCGTAACAGCATCTAAATCTGATTGAATTTTTGTATATGTATGGTTTATTGTAAGATACGCATCAATACATGTACATCAAAAAGACTATTGTGGATGAGTGAGTGAGTGAGTTTAGTTTTACGCCACTTTTAGCAATATTCCAGCAATATCACGGCGGGGGACACCAGAAATGGGCTTAACACATTGCACCCATGTGGGGAATCGAACCCGGGCCTTCGGCGTGACGATAGAACGCCTTAACCACTAGGCTACCCCACCGCCCCTATTGTAGATGAAATGTAGGGGCCATTGTCTCTATCTAGTGTCACAGAACTGTCTGTATCTCTTGTGTCAACCTGCCTTTACAATATGTCTGAGCAAAATCCATATGTCTGAGACCTGATTTGAACCTGATCTTGTCCCGACCTGTGTCTGGAGACCTGATTTACCCCAACCTGTGTCTGAGACCTGATTTGTCCGACACCTGCCTGTGTCTGAGACCTGATTTGTCCAACACCTGCCTGTGTCTGAGACCTGATTTGTCCAACACCTGCCTGTGTCTGAGACCTGATTTGTCCGACACCTGCCTGTGTCTGAGACCTGATTTGTCCGACACCTGCCTGTGTCTGAGACCTGATTTGTCCGATACCTGCCTGTGTGTGAGACCTGATTTGTCCGACACCTGCCTGTGTCTGAGACCTGCTTTGTGTGTGATTCAGGTGGGTATTACAAGTACAACGAGGAGCTGGTTGTACCAATTGTGGAGAACACCCCTGAGGAGAAGGATCTGAAGGTATTGTCACTCATCAAGCTGGATATCCTACCACTGGATATTCCGAGGTCATCATCATTTTAACAAATATAAATATTTGGGCACAGATTTTGTCCAATTTGTATGTTTTTGCTCGACTAGCTGCTATTATTAAAAAAAGAAAGTGTTGAAAAAGAAGAAGTATGTGTTAAAAAAATTTGTGTTGAAAAGGAAAATGTTCAGTTCATCATTTCAGATAAAACTTATGTTATGACTTGAAGCAGTTTCTCAAGAAATATTGTCATTCAACATACCTGTGATGATCCGGGTTAGAATTGGTCTTTAGCAACCCATGCTTGTTGTAAGAGGCGCCTAACGGGCGGGTGGTCAGGCTTGCTGACTTGGTTGACACATGTCATCATATCCCAATTGCGTAGATCGATGCTCATAATGTTGATCACTGGATTGTCTGGTCCAGACTCGATTATTTACAGACACCGCTGTCATATAGCTGGAATATTGCTGAGTTCGGCGTTAAACAACAAGAAAATAATTTTTTGTATAAGTTTATCTGAGAGAGTGTTTTCCCACCAGGATGCCATGGCCCGAGCTATGGAGGACTATCCTGACACGTGTGCAGTGCTTGTCAGACGACATGGATTCTATGTATGGGGAGAGACGTGGCAGAAAGCCAAGGCCATGTAAGTATTGATTCCTGCAGACTTCAGTTAAATGTTGTCCCTGTATAATTCAGCATGGGGATCCTGAATAGCAGAAGGAAAACATACAAGAAGATAAACAGTGAATGTTAGGAGGTGTGTGGTCCTGTGCATAGAGCTCAGGTCACAAATCTGGGGAAATTAAGCAGCATTGGGCATGGAGAGTCTGTGGATGGGTGACCATGTTTGGCAGCTTGACTCCTGAAGAGTTTCTAGGACTTCAGTCCAGCCCGACAACGAAGCACATGTGATACATGTGGTCTCACCTGAGGCAAATGAGTTTGTTCAAAATTGCCTCTGTTCATCCAGCAGAAAATGGGTACCCGGTGGGATAAGTCATGTGAATAATAACCTAGCACCTCACAGGTTGGGTTATCCGGGTAATAATGGTCTGATTGTTAGTGCTATGAGCATCCACCTAGTGACTGGAGTTTAGTGCTTTATAAATGCACTCATTATTATTATGTGGCTTTTATGTTTTTTGTGATGTTTCTGTATACTAGCTGTGATGTGGGTGTATATTTAATGTTGCACTGACTTAACTGTGATGTTGCTGTAATATGGCCAACATTTGTCCATATAGTGCTGATCGTTCTCACTTCACGTTTCTCTTTCCCAGGTGCGAGTGTTATGACTACCTGTTTGATATGGGAGTTCAGATGAAGCAGCTCGGACTTGACCCCACCACCGTCCCAAAACCCCTAAAGGGGCCTACGTCTCAGAGACTTCATGATCTCTTTCTTGTCAATAGTATTGTTTTCAAGGATTTTAAATATGATTATAGTATTTTCACTGGAGGTTTCAGGGAATCTGGACAGCCTTGACGCTGGTTTGTCTTTGGAGTTAAAAAAAAAGTATAATATTGCAATTTATGGTTATACTTACATGTCAAAATGTTTTGGAGCATTTATACCTCAACTTTTAACTGTATTGACAGACAACATAATATGTCTGATTTTTGTGAGGTTTTCTATTTCTGAGAAGTATTTCCAGTTTGCTGCTTGTACTGTGTACAGTGTCAGACTGCCACATATGCACTGCCATTATCATCTTCATCTGCCAACGGTCATCTATCCTGTCATCTTCATCTTGGCGCCATATAGCTGGAATATTGCTGAGTGTGGCATACAACTAAACTCACTCTTCATCTTGGTCTTCATCTCATTACATGTGTATTACCTCTACTTGAAGAGCTGATAATGCCCCCATAATATTGGTCAACCAGTTTTGTTGCTGTGATCAGCAACCTCAGCCTTTTTAGGTCGAAGTGCTGTCAAACATAGAAACACATTCAGGGTTATCTGGGATTTGAATCTAGAAATACAATACAGATGCAAGATCATGCCCCTCTTTGCAGTGAATTGTGGCATCACAGCCAACTTGGTGTGGCCCAGGATCTCAACTGTAGGGTTCTAGTCAACCAGTAGGAAATTAGGTTGAACTCAATCTGGAGGTTGTGAGAACCAGGCGCGTAGCAAGCCAATTTTTCTCGTGTATGCCCGATAGGTTTCAAAGCTTTACATATAGATGGTATTGAGGGCTTGCACAACCTTTTTAGCAACAGTCCGCCCGGAGAGCGGAAGATCGCGGGTTCGATCCCCGACCGCGTCATACCAAAAGACGTTAAAATATGGTACTTGTTGGTCCCTGCCTGGCGCTTCGGCATTAATGGGTACAACGACAAGGACTGGTCGGCTCGGAGTCAGTATAATGTGTCTGAGTGGGGTATTCATGCTTCACTGCGGCATGGTATCTCAGTGGGCTAGCACTATAAAACCAGCTTCAGTCTGGGCTAGTACAAGCAGCCGCGCATAGACATACACACGCATGCACGTCGTCATATGAGCGAAATATTCTCAAGCACGACGTTAAACCCAATTTACCCTTTTAGCAACAATCATGTGTAAGCCCGGGCCTTTTTTATAATGGTAGCGCCTTTTGGAAGTCGGATTGTAATGTTAAGACAAGCTGTTTTTAAGTACAGTTGTTTTGTTGTTGGTTAATGCCGCATTTAGCTATGTGAAGGCAGCCTGTGAATTGGAACAGACATTCCAGTGATTTACATCATGAGCATCGATCTACTCATATGCATCAATCTATGATGTCCGGATACTGAGACAAGTATCAACCATATTACTGAGCCTGATCATCTGACAGGCTGTTTCCACATTCATGGGTTGATGCATACCAGTTCTAACAGCTCATAACAGTTTCACATGTCTGAAACTGAATTCAGTTTAGAAATTGAGGGATGCAACAAGTGTCACTAGAAGGATGGGTGCTACGATTATTAGAAGCACAAGGTTGTGTTACACCCCTGTAGTCTGCCTTAAATGTGATACTTTCAGTGTAAGTCTTGTGTTTGGGAAGATTACCGTCTATAATCAATGTATTGGTATATGGTATATGTGGTTTTCCAAGAGAACATGTATTCAGAGTTTATATATATTTGTACAGGAAGACAAGAGCGTCTCTGTGTTGTTATGGAATAAAAGGGGAAACAGTAAATTGTGCCTTGTGTTCCGCAGCTTGCATGTTGGAAGACTCTTAAGATACGGACCGCTGTGGTGATGTGGCTAGAGCGTCCGCCCGGAGAGCGGAAGGTCGCGGGTTCGATCCAAAAGACGTTAAATATGGTACTTCCTGGTCCCTGCCTGGCGCTCGGCATTAATGGGTACAACAAAAAGGACTGACCGGCTCGGAGTCAGTATAATGTGTCCGAGTGGGGTATTCATGTTTAACTGGGGCCTGGTATCTCAGTGAGCTGGCACAATAAAACCAGCTTAAGTCTGGGCTAGTACAAGCAGCCACACATACACACGCATGCACATTGTCATATGAACGAAATATTCTCAAGTGCAACGAAAAACCCCATTTCACCTCACCTCACCTTAAGATAGGGAGAGTGCGTAGAGGGGAGTGAAGGTGGGTTGATCAATATTTAGGACACCAGAATTGTCTTCAGTTATTGTGTCTGTGTGGATCGGTCATGGCTAATGTTAAGATAACGACCACAACACCATACATATGACAGTGTACAGGTCACTGTGCCTCCTGGGGTAACCCCACTAGCCTTTATTACGCAGCTATTCCCGATTGATGGTGGATGTCTGCTTGTGAAACAGAACGATGAATACTAGCATCATCAGAAATAAATATTTAAGAGCTCTCGTAAAATCATAGCTATTTCTCCAAATAACCAGAGCGTCAAATTAATGGGTCCTAAACAGACTCCCCGACAATATTCCTTCGATATACGCTTGTTTGTTACATTGTAAACGTAAGATAACTGGTGGAACTGGTCACTTTGCACTTGATAAGTCCTGGTTGTTGAGGTTGATAACGAGGACTGATGCATCTTGTCATGCTCTCTCAGTTACCATTCACGTGTTTTCCTGTGTGCTGTGTGGTAACGGCTCGCACCGTAACAGTTCTTTCCCCTGCACACTATTGTCGGCTCCAGTCACCCCTTTATATAAACAAGTCAGGCAATGTACCAGACAAACCAGTGGTTGATATAATGAGCGAGGCTATACGCCGTTGGAGTTCGATCTTATGCCATAAACCTAGTCGCTGAGTCTGTACTACCATTCATTTAGATCCCTGTACCGTTGCAGCGTTGGAAATACCTGCCTGCCCGACCGCCCGGGACGGGTTATTTTCAGCACGGAGTGCCAGATTCTCAAATTCACCTGCCCGACGGTCGGGTTAAAATTTAGATATGTATATGGAGATATTCATCATATTTCAGGATAATAAATCATTATTAATTCACTCGTAAAAATATATGATTAATTCCAATTGGATGATAAACTACGTCGCTTGTCAAACCCTGTTTCATACCCTGCTGTGTACGACAAGCATATTTAGGATACCTGGGACGTTTTCCGTGCAGGAATCCTCGTGGTGATGGACAACGTGCTGGAGGTTCGTTGTCTCCATTGTTGACATCATGGCTTGTCCACCAGTTTGTCCTCTCTGAAGTGTTCATTAAAACTGGACCGGTATATGGTATGTTTACCTGCATAAGATCCACAAATACACGAGCAGATTCAGATACGCTTGACCTTGACCTAGGTACTCGTCACAAAGACATCGTTACGCAGATTCCTGCTATTACAGGCTCTCGTCACACACACACGTTACAGACACTCGCCAAGCAAGCACACGTTACAGACTCTCGTCGCACGATACAGACACCAGCGATGCAAACCCTAATTTAGCCCAATTAGTATTTTGGCCCAAAACTGATGCAAAATTACGTATTTTTGTCTAAAATCAGTATTAACTTTTCCAAAGAAATTTCATATTTAATAAAAAATACATAGATATTATGAGAACTTGTTATTAACATTGTACTCGCCTAAATCAGTTGTAAGTATCCACATATAGCTTGATACTGAATAAAATGTTGAAATTTATTGTGTATGGTACGTATGCTATTTGATAATTGAATTTATTTTATTTTTTTTAAATTCGTGTATTTTTACTGCTATCGTAGTCGCGTATTTTGTGTTGTTTCTTCGTAAGAAATACGATAAAATCGTTTGGGTTAGCATCTCTGCAGACGCCAATAACACGTTACAGACACTCGTCACACGTTACAGACACCCGTCACACGTTCGTCACACCCGGCACAAGTTACAGACAGTCGTCACGTCACACGTTACAGACACATTCGTCACCGTCACACGTTACAGACACACCGTCACTCGTCACACACGTTACAGACGCTCGTCACACGTTACAGACGCTCGTCACCCGTTACAGACACTCGTCACACGTTACAGACTCGTCACATAATGCCTGTTGAGACTCGTCACACCTTACAGACGCTCGTCACACGTTACAGACGCTCGTCACACGTTACAGACATTCGTCACACCGTTACAGACGCTCGTCACATGTTGCAAACGCTCGTCACACGTTACAGACGCTCATCACACGTTACAGACACTCGTCACACGTTACAGACGCTCGTCACACGTTACAGACGCTCGTCACACGTTTACAGACGCTCGTCACGCGTTACAGACGCTCGTCACACGTTACAGACGCTCGTCACGTTACAGACGCTCGTCACACGTTACAGACGCTCGTCACACGTTACAGACGCTCGTCACACGTTACAGACGCTCGTCACACGTTACAGACACCCGTCTTACAGACGCTCGTCACACGTTACAGACGCTCGTCGTCGTCACACGTTACAGACGTCACACGTTACAGTTACAGACACTCGTCACACGTTACAGACATTCGTCACACGTTACAGACGCTCGTCACACAGACGTTCGTCACACGTTACAGACATTCGTCACGTTACAGACGCTCGTCACACGTTACAGACACACGTTACAGACGCTCGTCACACGTTACAGACGCTCGTCACACGTTTACAGACACCTCGTCACGTTACAGACGCCTCGTCACACGTTACAGACGCTCGTCACATGTTACAGACGCTCGTCACACGTTACAGACACATGTTACAGAACGCTTCGTCACACGTTACAGACACTCGTCACACGCTTACAGACACTCGTCACACGTTACAGACACGTTCGTCACACGTTACAGACGCTCGTCACACGTTACAGACGCTCGTCACACCGGTCACGTTACAGACGCTCGTCACACGTTACAGACGCTCGTCACACGTTACAGACGCTCGTCACACGTTACAGACACTCGTCACACGTTACAGACGCTCGTCACACGTTACAGACGCTCGTCACACGTTACAGACGCTCGTCACACGTTACAGACGCTCGTCACACGTTACAGACGCTCGTCACTCCTTACAGACGCTCGTCACACGTTACAGACGCTCCTTACAGACGCTCGTCACGCGTTACAGACGCTCGTCACACGTTACAGACGCTCGTCACACGTTACAGACGCTCGTCACACGTTACAGACGCTCGTCACACGTTACAGACGCTCGTCACACGTTACAGACGCTCGTCACACGTTACAGACGCTCGTCACACGTTACAGACGTCACACTCGTCACACGTTACAGACGCTCGTCACACGTTACAGACGCTCGTCACACGTTACAGACGCTCGTCACACGTTACAGACGCTCGTCACACGTTACAGACGCTCGTCACACATTACAGAGACGCTCACGTTACAGACGCTCTCGTCACACGTTACAGACGCTCGTCACACGTTACAGACGCTCGTCACGTTACAGACGCTCGTCACACGTTACAGACGCTCGTCACACGTTACAGACGCTCGTCACACGTTACAGACGCTCGTCACACGTTACAGACGCTCGTCACACGTTACAGCTCGTCACACGCTACAGACGCTCGTCACACGTTACAGACGCTCGTCACACGTTACAGACGTTACAGACGCTCGTCACGTTCGTTACAGACGCTCGTCACACGTTACAGACGCCCGTCACACGGTACAGACGCTCGTCACACAGACTCGTCACACGTTACAGAAACCCGTCACACGTTAAAGACACTCGTCACACGTTAAAGATACCCGTCACACGTTACAGACGCTCGTCACACGTTACAGACACTGGTCACACATCACAGACTCGCCACACAGGACACGTTACACACACTCGTCGCACGTTACAGACAGTGGTCACACGTTACAGATTCGTCACACAAGCACGCGTTACACACACTCGTCACACGTTACAGACACTGGTCACACGTTGCAGACGCTCGACACACAGGCACACGTTACAGACACTCGTACAGACACCCGTCACACGTTACAGACACCTGTTACACGTTACAGACGCTCGTCACACGTTACACACACTCGTCACACGTTACAGACGCTCGTCACACGTTACACACATTCGTCACACAGGCACACGTTACAGACGCTCGTCACACGTTACAGACACACGTCACACATGGCAGACTCTCGGCACACAGGACACGTTACAGACACTCGTCACAGACGCTGCTCGAGCATATTCCCCTAATACAGACACGCTTCACACAGATTCCCGCCACGCAAGTTCCCGCAGAATAAACGATTTCCTCATCTCCAACGTTATATATCTACATACTATATACCATTACACATCACGGCTATACAAATCATAAGACGAGACACTTAATTCGAGATTTACTCAGTATTTATTGGTGAGAACAATAAGATCTAGTTCAGGGTTTTGTTAGCAGGGTGCAATGTACACGAGGTCACGTGACCCATCTAGTTTCACGAAGACTGTTGGTATCAGGAAATTTCCACCACGCCACCACAAGGGCGGGGGTGAACCCTCTGCACAGCAGTGTTAAGTAGAGGGTGGACTTCAACTCCCTTAATTAACAACTGACGCAAATTATCTCAGTTTCATCGATAACTGAAATGTTTATGTGAACGCCCAAAGCTTCTGGACTTCCCTGAAGGATCTGAGAGAGATGTCATTTTGCTATGTTCCAATACATCTATTATACTAAGTAAACATCAACAGTTCAAAATGGACGCGTCCCGGAACCAAACACGCTGGAAAATATATAAGATGATTCAAAAACATTTCAGCCCTGCAAAATCAAAGTTTGATATGATAATATCTGACACCTGCTTGAATATACTCCGACTGAAACACATGTTTCCGGTTCCAAACAAGATAGGGTATTGTGCGATGTTAGAGTGTGCGAGTTGGTTCTGAAGTTGGTAGTTTGGCTTACCGTTGTTTAGAACCGTTTTTACGTTATAACCGTTTACAGACATGTAGAAGGTAGACATCTACACACTGCTGGATCTGTGAAAAAGTCATGATGCTCAAAAACCACACCCATTACCAGAGCAAATCTGTGATTCGAGCCCGTGATCGCAGGATTCTAGTCCGCCCAGATATGCGTTCCTCCATTGTTTTCAATACCATATGATATGTATTGGAGGAGGCCTTGAGCGTGTGAGTCTGCATGCATCTCTCGATACAATTACTGAAACACTACAAACACTGGGTAAAACTATACCGACAACTCCATGTTCTTTCTTTGATTGGATTGATTTGTATGACATTACCTTATAGAGTTATTATATTTTTTCAACAGTTTGAAATTAAACAGGGGTTGAAAAATACCATTGCCCGACGCCCTGGTCAAGCGGAATTCTCCGGTCGGTCAAGTAAATATCCACATTAAACTTTACCGTGGCACAGTAGTGCCAAACTACTGAAATGTTTTGATATATGTATTTTGATGATGAAATAAAAATGCAATTGTCTGTTGTTTATAATTGATAAAGATTATTTGCAAAAGAAACCAAATTGCTAATTGTGGTCAAGTGAAATATATATTTGGTCAAGTGGATTTTGAAAGTTTAGTGGACATGTGTCCAGTGGAGTTTTGAAAAATAATTCAAGCCCTGGAAAACTTTGAAAAGTGTGCGTTTTTTGTTATATATTAATCTGGAAAACATGATATTTATCTTTTCAGGACTCTCAAATGTAGTTTTATTGAACACGAAAGCCAGTCTCGCTGCAAACTAGATGGGTCATATATGGGTGAAACTGAATAATCTGACATTGACAGAAGCTAAACATCAACTGATATTTCACTGAACAATTTGCACATACAGATTTGGGACAATACATATATTAAATACATCGAGATTTGACAAGCATGTACACACAGATAGATAAGCAAAATATATAACAATAAAAATATACACTTACTGTAAAGCCAATGTCCTACAAATTAATGCATTCACTTATTCAGTATATTACACAGCTTGAAGCACTTATATTGTAAAGCTACAAATAAAGATATCATTTCAGGGGTAAGCGGACCACGAGTTCCAACAACCTATCACACAGCTCTGTTGTCATGGAAACCATATTCATCAACATGTTGTCATGGAAACCATATTCATCAACATCTTGTCACGAAAACATATCCACCAACCATCAACAGCTATATTTATCAACATTTTGTTATGGAAACCATACTCATCAATACGTTGTCATGGAAACAATATTCATCAATACCTTGTCATGGAAACCATTTTCATCAACCATGAACAGGTACATTAATGAACATGTCGTTATGGAAACCATATTTATCAATATGTTGTCATGGAAACATATTCATCAACATGTTGCCATGGAAACCATATTTATCAACACACTAGGTGCAGCATATGTATGTTTCTGTTAGACTGTACTTCTATTGAAACCGTTTACACTGATGAACAAGAAATTGAAAAAGTGTCGTTACCCCAACATGATGAACTCGTTTTGAAAATCGGATAACTTACGAAGTAGGTGTAAACCGTCTTGTCTGGGGATCAGTATTATGTGAAGGTGCGTACATTAAAAATGGCCGCACCTAGATGATTCACTGGGTTAGAGATCTTTCCTTTCAAACATTGTGATTATGCGTTGGTGTGGGTTGTTAGTCAAACGGTGTTTAACGGTTGATACCAGACCTATTAAAATAAAAGGAAAGCGCTCAGCACCAGATTAAAACATAAACAAAAAGCTTCCCGTACGCCCAGCTACAAGGACGTCCTATTCAAATACCAATTTAAACAACTTGTCTTTCAAAGCAACGATATCCCCAGGTCCGAACCGTAGTATTCTGATAAAACAAAAACTACGTAACACTGTAACATTACCAGTTTTAGTGCATTTTCTTTCAATAATGTGTCATTCATTGTAGTCCAGTTCAAAATGGGTGACGGATAGGGCGTCACTTTACCCTTTAAACACATCTCGTTACTTTCATTGCTGAATCGTTATACGCAACAAAATGCATGACTGAAACTTTTATTCTTGGTGTTTGTAAAACCCATTTCCACGGTCGGATGGGAATTAAGACACAACACAAAAAAACACGACGCCCTTTACCCAGCATACCTGTCTAATGTAGAGAATCTCAAAAGAAAGAAACTTTGCTCTCATAACCATTAAACATATTACACGTTCTCTGAATGTAGAATTTCTGACATCTGGCATCAACTTTAAGTTGTATTTGCACAGAAATAATATTCTGAGTAACTGTATCTTTAAGGTTTCCTTTAAATGCGTTAGGTGTAATGACTATAAAGCGATTTGATCCTAAGGTGTCCCAAACCCCATAACCACTGTGTCGGATCGGGACTAAACCACTACCCCCATCCAAAACCCTACGTCTCTATTGCAGGTCGAGGGTAGGTATGTAGACATGACTTATGGCTACTGTGCTTTTTAAGCTAGAACGAGATGAATATATGCATATCGTATGTTCACCGATTCATTCTCCGTGCAACTAGCAGCGCCAGTACTTGAACACCCAGTTAAGGCGAAAGCCAGTTACTGTTGCTCGCGGGGTACAGCTACACACAGCTCTAAATCTCCACCCATCCATACACGGGATATAAAATGCCTTTACGTCAACCGCGACAGAGCGTTACCATGTATAACCAATTCTTATGGCATATAGTTTCTATGGCAACGCTTCCAAGGATTTCACATGAACACTGAACAAGTCTCCAATTGGTATACTCTCGTATACCGTCTCCTTTCGTATAGTAAGTCACGTGCTCAATTGTACCAACTACAGGAGTCATTTCCTCAACTCAACAATTAAACGTCCCACACTGTACGGCCTAGGACATCTTTTATGACACAACACTGATACAAATGAGGATGAGTTGCCTCCCTTGGATGACCTTTGCCACCGGAAGGCTATGAAATCCAGTCTGCTTGGAGCAGCATGAGGTCAAGGTCACGTGATGTCACATGATCACATCGCATGAAAATATTCCTATGAGTAATGCACATTCTCCTTGCTCCGAGCGTCGTCGCGGTCTCATCATGTGTTGAAGAATCGCCGAACTTTGGGCGTGAGAAGCCGGAAGAAGGATTGTGGGAACATCGTATGGGACACGTTTACGTATTTCAGATAGTTGTAGGGCTGGGCGATCACCTCTAGGAGCGCGTTCAGAAGCTTCCGGTCCTGTAAAGAGATGACGTCAATGTTAACATTATTAACTAACGTCATTTTCCAGCGGGGTAGCCTAGTGGTTCGTTTCGTTTCCCCCGAAAGCCCAGGTTCGATTCCGACATGGACACAATGTGTGAAGCTCATTTCTGGTGTCCCTCGCCCTCAGTAAAGCAATATTGCCAAAATGACACAAAACGAGTAGAGGCTACAGTCCGTTTGAGTCAGAAACGGACCGATGAATTGCAAATTTGATCATCGTACAAAATTGCCACATAAAGATAAATAGTACACATGTTTATCATTTACTAATACCCAACAGCTTTCTTATATTTGAACATTTTCCGGACTCCACCAAAAAAAGTTGTTTAAGAAACTATCATCATTGAAAACGCAAAAGTTGTTATCTGTCGCGGCGGGGTGAAACCGCAGAAACGGAACAGCCACTATCTCGTCGTGCACGGAATACACATGCCTGATGAAAAATGAAGTTGAATGCTGAAGTGAAACAGTTCATGATTAAAGTGTACGATATTTTCCGTGCTGAAGCCAAAAGGGGCAAACCATTTTATGCCATTAATAATTACGTAAGCGGGAAGCAAAAGCTTTAGGAGTATCAGCAAGGGTACTGACAAATGTTCTGGAACACAAACATTGAGAGGGTGATGCGAAGCAGGTAGGGGTCGTGTCAAAATCACACAAATCAAAACATTTGGACAACTTTCAAAAGAACCTTGTAAGGCAGTCTATCAACAAGCTCTATTCTAAAGACAAATACATGTCGCTGAAAATTTTTAAAAAGCATTTGAAGCAAGAACACAACCTCAGAGTATCAAAGTACACACTCTGGCGACTCTGACACTCTTTCGGGTATCGTTATAAGAAAATTTCGGGGGAGAATAGGTCAGTACTCTGTGAACGCCCCGATATCGTTCGCTTGAGAAATAAATTTCTCAGGGTTATAAAGAAGAAGCGCGAGGAAGGGTTCGAGCCAGTGTACTTGGACGAGACCTGGGTCAATGCCTCGCACACTGCCAGCAGTCAGTGGGTACCCGATGGGGGTGATAAGGGGTCATGTAGAAAGCTGCCTCTAGGGAAAGGAGAGAGACTAATCATTATCCATGCTGGTTGCTCCAGCAAAGGCTTTCTCCCAGGCTGCGACTTGGTATTCAGGGCAAAGTCCACAGATAACAGAGACTACCATTCCGAGATGAATGGTGCGGTTTTCCTCGATTGGGTTAAAACAAGTATATCATGGCTCGACAAATTTAAGATCGCACGGCCTTCAAAGGCAACGAAGCCTCAACTATATAAGATCATAAAAACCCACAAAGGTGAACCTTTCTACAAAGTTGACAGTTACAGAAAAAGTAAGGGTCACGATATTCTGCGACTTCCACCCTATCACTGTGACCTGAACCCCATTGAAATTATAAGGGGTATTGTCAAAGGAGATGTTGCCAGATCAAACACAACTTTTAGATTGCGTGACGTAGAGGTTTTGGTTCAGGAATCCCTTAGCAAAAGCACGACTGAAACTTGGCAAAAACAAGGTAGCTAACGTCATTGAACAAGGTTACTGGTCTCGGGATGGCTTACAACAGGCAACTGTGGCACCACTTGTCATCCCTTTAAGTCGTGACTATGACACTACGACAGACGAGGAACCGACAGGTCTCCCGGAATAGATTTTGAGATGTCCCCTGCCATGACTGGCTGTTCCGTTTCTGCGGTTTCACCCCGCCGCGACAGATAACAACTTTTGCGTTTTCAATGATGGTAGTTTCTTAAACAACTTTTTTGGTGGAGTCCGGGAAATTTTCAAATATAAGAAAGCGGTTGGGTATTAGTAAATGATAAACATGTGTACTATTTATTTTTATTTATGTGGCAATTTTGTACAATGATACAATTTGCAATTCATCGGTCCGTTTCTGACTCAAACGGACTGTATAGTTTGGCATGAAAGGCATGTGGACACGTTTTTTGTAAATATCTCTTCATCCAATGACCCAATCGATCGCAAACTGTGCAAGTGGATGTTTTGTCAGACAACCTAATCACATTGTAAATCACCGATTTTATGCATTTGTATTAAAGAATCTGTCTATGTAACTGTCAACAAAATAAACAGCAGAACGCAGAAAGCTTGCAGAGGGAGGGAGCCAATGACCTGTAACAGCGGCAGTGTTGGGTCATAAAGGTCAACGTTCGTCAATGTAGGTCAGCTATGCTGATGACCCTGATGTCAAAAGAATCTTACTTTGGATGCCTACCTTTTTCTACAAGGTTTTGTTTATTGGTTGTTGGTTTATTTTTCACAATTTTTAGTACGATGTTCTTTTTCATGCCAAAAGCAAAAGTTGTACTTTTCATGTAATCCGACACCTTATAAATCGGTTTGCTACGTTTGCTCTCTTTTAAAAAAAATTTAAACACATTTCTAATTAAACGTTTAGCATCATCTGAATAAGCTTTCATGATGACAGCTAGAAGAAGTCAATGTGAATGATTCAAACGGTCTATCACTGTGCAGTGCACAGGTAACTATCATGAACTGCACGTGCATTTCCCTTTATGACCCAGCACTGCCGCTGTTACAGGTCATTGGCTCCCTCCCTCTGCAAGCATTCTGCGTTCTGCTGTTTATTTTGTTGACAGTTACATAGACAGATTCTTTAATACAAATGCATAAAATCGGTGATTAACAATGTGATTAGGTTGTCTGACAAAACATCCACTTGCACAGTTTGCGATCGATTGGGTCATTGGATGAAGAGATATTTACCAAAAAACGGGTCCACATGCATTTCATGCCAAACTATAGTTACGCTTTATAATATTGGAACATGACTAAGGGATACCAAGACTGGTTTCACACACGGTCCCTTATTCCTATTTAGAATCATTCAATGAATTAACAAAGATCAACGTTTCGATTTAAAAAAAAGACGTTCATATATCTCGCAACTGCAGTTTTAGGGAATCAGTTTGCTGTATTTGTTCATTTACGCCGCATTTTTTTCAGCTATATGTTGTCGATCTTTAAATAATCTAGTCTGGTCCAGATAATCAAGTGATTAACATAGTGTACCATCGATCTACGCTACTTGGTAAACGATGCCACATACATCAACCAAGTCAGAGAGCCTGACCACTTGATCCCGTTAGTCGTCTCTTACGACAAGCATGGGTAGGATCTTCACGGGTCAGCAATCAAGTGAGGTGAGGTGAAATTGGGTTTTACGTCGTGCTTGAGAATATTTCGCTCACATGACCACGTGCATGCGTGTGTATGTGTATGTGCGGCTGCTTGTACTAGCCCAGACTTAAGCTGGTTTTATAGTGCTAGCCCACTGAGATACCATGCCGCAGTGAAGCATGAATACCCCACTCAGACACATTATACTGACTCTGAGCCGACCAGTCCTTGTTGTACCCATTAATGCCAAGCGCCAGGCAGGGACAAACAAGTACCATATTTTAACGTCTTTTGGTATGACGCGGTCGGGGATCGAACCCGCGACCTTTCGCTCTCCGGGCGGACGCTCTAACCTCTACACCACGGAGGCGGTAGCAATCAAGTAGTTTAAAAGGAGTATATGTATTTGATGACGTCAGAGAACATTTATAACTAAAGGGTTTTGCAGAGTTCTTGTTAAATGAACAACGCTTAAACAATCTCGGATTTGGCCGAGCTGCAATGTAGCCAGAACATTATTGTAACAACCTTGAATATTTGTTGATGTTGATAGGAGTTGTAGAGACGGCCGTCGCGGACGATGTCTTCAATGAGGGTCTGGTATTCCTCTGAAATCATAACAGCAATCATTATAGCAATAGCATATGTTGACATCAACCGTTTCAACAACACACGCGGTATTGCCCCTAAAGACAAACACTTGCTCTCAATAAGGTCAATTCCATATAGAAGGGGCAGGCAACGGTGAGATGAAAGTTATTGGTGCAGAGGCAGTCCCTACACTTTCTCTAGACACCAAACATGACGTGTTTTAGTTCGATTCCGCGTGAGTCGCAGTTTTAAATATAGTGATGGTTCTGAATTAGGTAATGAGTCTTCTGTGAATGAAATACCAACCGTTGTATGTGACAAATGGTATGGAGAATCCTTTGGCTGTGTTGTTGCCGTCCGACTTGAACTGAATCCACAGTTTCTTGGAGCGAGCAGTGAAGGCGATCGGTTGATCTTTGCTCTTGCATGTCTCGAACGTGGTCAGGCTGTATGGGGACTCTGTTATAACAACAAACAATCAGAATTTCGTCTCGGAATAACGTGTATGATTTTGTACTCAACGTATTAGTTCTTCATTACCAATGGGCCATACAAGGCCCCCTGCCAGACCATGACACGTTTAGAAAATGTTTCTCCACAACGTGCTGTGTCAGCATATTTTGAGGGCAATGAATCGTGGTGTGCTTAATACCATCAACATCTCTGAATATCAAGAATGGCCCAAAATCAAAAGGAAAGAATCGTCTGAATCTTTATCTTATACGTAGAATATGAATTCGAAATCGAGAACGGAAAACTGGTAGCCGGCTCGAAAATTAGAAAAGCATGAATATTTAAGGGTGGTATATTGGTCTAATAATATTACAATCTATAATAATTTAGAGTCGGGTCGATTCCCACCCCATGTTGTGACACAAATACTTAAGTAAGAATTAACAATACAGTGCCGAACAAAAAAACCTATCCCTTTCGCTGTGTTGTAGTCTCAACATTAGTCACAATATTCATATAATTATAACCATACCAAAAACGAAAGCAAAAGACTTTACGCACAGGTAAGAAAGATAATAATCAACCTACTAGATTTCCTCATGACGAGGACGTCGCCGCATTTGTCGTCCTCGCGCAGGTAGATCTCGGGAATGATGACGAGGATGCGGCGTCTCTTGTCGGGTTTGATCTTCCACGTGCACCGGATGTCGATGGGGTAATCCCCGGGGTAGTTGGGGGTCTCGATCACCCCCTGGTAGCGTCCCTGGTACCCGCCACACAGTCGGTCTACCCAACAAAAACGTTTTATGTACATGCAGCCAGTGACGATAACGTCTACACATTTCATACTAACGTGAAGGCCTTTACTCTTCAACCTGTATTTTACCAGATAGTTTTTCAAATCGCCCAATACCTTGTGGAAGCATTCAAAACTAATTTGGGATATATTAATCCTCGGAAAATGATAATAATAACCAGCAAGACAGCTTACTTTTACAGTTGCCGCTGCTGGTTGAGCCTGGGGCGTCCGTCGTGGTCGACCCCGGGCAGGCGATGCAGTAGTTGTGACCAGAACGAGGCTGGTAGGAGCCCCGTGGGCAGATCTGGCACTGGTGGACGCTGACGTTGTAGAAGTGACCGGCCTGGCATGTCGCTGAAAACACATCTGATTGATCCAGTTGCTCAGACAGCAGCGAGTTGGTAATAAAGGTTCAACACAGCTTTCAGCAACAGTTCAGTAAGATCACGGAGGGAATCGATATGAGAGGACGTACCACTGTAGATTGTTACAACTCGAACACAAGGGATTATATTTGGGAATTGAACCAACTAAAAGCGGATCCGGATACCTCTTTGGGACGCAACTCCGCAGAGCAACTTAAAATACGCAACCATCCGCAATATTTATGGTAAAATATTAACTGAGACATTACTCTTAACGGATTTACGTCATCCTTGCACAGCGCTAGCCTGTTAAACACACAAGGCAATTCTTTTCGTAAATACTAGAATGATGTCTTTGGACCTGTGACACCACCTTATCTGGTTCATGTTTAGATCTTTGCATAAAGGTTTAATTATAATTTCAGCTATATTGTAAAGTATATTGTTCTTTAGAAATTCTCAGAAGCGACTGGGATCAGACAGTTTCAACAACACCAACGTTACCCCTGGCACTGCACGCTTTGAACTCGGCTGCCGCGGGTCCCCGGGTCCTCATGCCATGCCCGCAGGGGGTGCAGGTTGTCCGGCCGAAGTCTGGTTGGTAGTACCCCTGGGAGCAGGGTACACATGGCTTACTGCCGCTCTTGGAGAAGAAGCCTGGCTCACAAAGGTCTGGAAATAGATCAGGGAGTTACGTGAGTGAAAGTTGTTATATGCCCCAGTCAACAATATTCCCGGAAATAATCGACTGACCGGACCATTAACTTATGTAAACTACCATACAATACGGTTACGATGCCATAGAGTCAGCCAGATCACAGAGTCTGATCACCAACAGTTGGCTCTTACAACACGATTGGATTCTGAGAAATGTTTCAGACTGGAATCCCCCCAGAATTGTAAATTGTGTACCCACATTCTTAAGAAATAGAAAAAGGGTCTAACGTCAGTGCGAAATAAGCTTCGCGTGAAGCACTGTTAAAGCGTTGTTTTAAAGTTCCTTTGCTCTTAAATAGGTAAGTACCTAAAATGTACTGTGAACGTTATTCTGAAATTCCCGATGAATGGAGAGTAAAATAACTCTATATTTTACCCATTAAGCAGTCCCTGTGATTTTTGGGAATGCTTTCAGAAAAAACAACCTGTTCCATAAATATTGTTTTATCATGATAAATTGTCCTTAGGTTTCACCCCAATCCCCATGGTTCCTTTCATATGCAGGATGAATAATCCTAACAGAGACATGATGGATAATGATTATTTTACCCATCCTCATTTTGAAGGAAAAAGACCCTGCTTTATTTCAAGGAGTGAACGTACAAATACTAGTATCTCATTCAAATATCTTCTCTAGGACCTCTCCTGCACGGGGCTATTATGTCCGCCAACAATAGCGAAGCATAAGTTCTATTTACCTGAACACTCTGCCGCTGCTGTCGCCCCGACTCGCCCGCCACCGACTCTACGGTTAGGGCAGTCCTTACATGACATCTGTCCCTCTGTGTCCTGATAAGTCCCTCCTGGGCAAGGGCGGCATCCACCCTCCTGAGCGTCGAAGTAGGTCCCTATACTGCAGCCAACTAATGGAGGGGAAATGCTCAATGATCACCAAGAAACTAATCTCGTGAACAATCGCTAATGTCGAGAATGCATGGCTCCATAGACAGGAGACAATAAGTTCATGAGCGATTAGTTCAATCTTATGTATTGTCCATGATCCAGATAACAATGCGTTGAGTCGAATCACATACATAATCTACCGAGTTAAAGAAAGTATTCACATTCATGGTGGCTAAGCAATATGTGGTTATTCCATTGTGACGATACTGGTACCGCAGCTGGCCTTAAGTTGGCAGTGGTCCAGAGACTGTTTTCAGACAAGTAAAGTTTTGATAACCTTTGCAATTTTTCAGTCTTTCTCGTGAACGGCAGATCACAAATTAGTCCTAACTTTCACTCTGTCAAACACGAAGACGATGACTTTCACGACGAGTACCTCGAACTATTCGAGAAATGACATGTGTTCTTTAAGGATGAGTGAGGATGTTGACATATGACGTACCACACACTTGATTGACGTTGATGGTACCGGGGCTGCAGGAGGCAGGAATCGCCTTCTCGGGTCTGAACGACTTCTTGATGATGTCTAATGGTGTTCCTGCAAACCTGCAACAAAATGTTGTGAGTGAGGAGCAAGAATGCACACTGATTTACAAATATCGTTATCTCTGTCAACCCAGAGTAGAATGTAAAGTGATGACCAACGTCTTACCCAATGGGTAGGTCCCCCTTCCTGATCGCTCTCTTCAACGTCTTGAACGCCTTCTTCAACTTCCGCTTGGTTCGCTTTCCCACACAGGCTATGTCACAGTTACCTGTATATCAATAAGGGGTGAATGAGCTGTTAGGTTTTTACAAATGTTATACACAAATGCTACATACCTACCCGCACTGAAACAAAACACGCTATTGATTTCATGCGCAAAGATTATTGTACGTGGCTGTCCCTAACCGCACACCCACATATCTTAATATGATAAACCTTTTAAACTAGCAATTTTCGCAATACAATTGTTGCTATGATAAAAGTTTTTGTAAAACAATATGTAAGACACTCATGATCAGATGCTTTTAACAATCCAAATCCAATCTGGGTACCACAAGAATGAGCTTCCTTTATAGAACCCATAAGATGACTTAAAATTGACATGGAAGCTGTTATGGATAAGAAAGAGGACAAACACATCTGTCATCAATAACCAGTGTAATTATGAAATGTCCTCATTATTTTTCCCTTTTATGGTATAGACGTAAAATTCGATACATCTCGGTTAACACAAATAAATATTGATGTACATATATACATATATACCCCAACAAAAAATAATTTCATAGATGCTAATTTAATCACTGACACACAAAAAAATGTAGATGTCTTTATCGGTTAATGGAAACAAACACAAAACAATTGCTTGTTCAGTTGATCAAATCACACGGAATCACTTGCAAAGTATTTATAACTTTGACATATTAACAGATAACAGTTATTTCCTGATTAAATTGGCGGATTAACAGAAACGAGATGGTTTTCTAAACACACCCTACCTGAAGGCTTTCTGGAGTTCATGAGGAGTTCGAACTCGGCCGTGACCAGAGACTTCCCGTTGCCCTGGACCTTCCTGGAGAACTTTCTCCGCCTGGACCCGCACTTGATGTCTATAGAGGTCACCTGGCATTTCTTCCTGCACTTGAATTTCTTCTGTTCTGTGGGGTCAAGGACGAAGAACGCAACAGTTACCCCGGAAGTGTATTTGTAAGCGCATTTGTCCAGTAACGATAATCTGATATAGTTCGGGCGCCGTTGTTTCAATGCAGAAAGAATATAACCAGCAATACCTTTGTTGATGTGTGTACTTAAATACCCCTTCACAGATGCGAAACACTCTTCTACTGGTATCCCTGCGACTGTGGTATGGCCCAGGGCCCCGTTCCTCAAAGTGATCGTAGCGCTACGATTGTGTTAACTCCCAAACTTTAACATTGACTTACGACTGTCGTAGCGCTACGATTGCTTTGAGGAACGGGGCCCTGTACCACATGAGATGTCTAAGCATCAGTATCTTCAGCAGTATCGTCAGTATTGTCGCTATGGTTGTTGTGCTACGGCCCAGTTTCTACATGTAGTTTTATAGAGACATTATCTTCAGCATTACCGATATGACTAAAGCTGTGGTATAGCCGGTAGCAATAATTTATGTTGTGTGGATGACCCTTTTACCAATTATCGCTACTCTATCATAAACCAAACAGCCTTAACAATAGTTTCAACTGAATACTCTATCATAAACCAAACAGCCTTAACAATAGTTTCAACTGAATACACTATCATAAACCAAACAGCCTTAACAATAGTTTCAACTGAATACTCTATCATAAACCAAACAGCCTTAACAATAGTTTCAACTAAACTCTATCATGAGCCTTAACAATAGTTTCAACTGAATACTCTATCATAAACCAATAGTTTCAAAACAGCCTTAACAATAGTTTCAACTGAATACTCTATCATAAACCAAACAGCCTTAACAATAGTTTCAACTGAATACTCTATCATAAACCAAACAGCCTTAACAATAGTTTCAACTGAATACTCTATCATAAACCAAACTGAGCCTTAACAATAGTTTCAACTGAATACTCTATCATAAACCAAACTGAGCCTTAACAATAGTTTCAACTGAATACTCTATCATAAACCAAACAGCCTTAACAATAGAAATGGCAACACTACTTACTGTTGAGAATGTTGGCCAGGCTGGCTCGGAGGATTTCTGTCGAAGACCTCTTAAACTGGCACTTGTCTGTGACAAACAGGAACCGCGCCTTTCTCTTGTACCCCGGAGGTGCCGTCAGCTCTGGAGGGAGTGGTGGTTATATTAGATACACTTCCATACAGATATATATGGCAGTGTAGGAGTGGGCGTGTTTCAAGTTTGTGCATGCTGTGTAAAGGTAGAGTATGAAGGCTGATAGTGCCGAGTGTATGCATGACAGTCAGGGGTATATTTTGGCTTATTTGTGAGATTGGCATTTTTCTTGATTGTAAATAGGCTTTCAATTTATCTTTCAGTGTTCATGACATGCGGCAAATCACTAAATAAAACCATCAAATTACCTCATATCGTTTTTCGTTGAAACAAACAGAATGTAAATGTGTGTGATGCATGTAGCTGGAAACACAGGATATTTCAGAAGAAATGTTAAGTACTGCATATCTTCAGACAAGCACTTGCTAAGCACAACGAGTAACTCTTATTTTACGCCGCTTGTAGCAATATCCCAGCCACATCACCACCAGAAAGATCTAGGCAATACATGTGTGGAATCGAACCTGGTCTTCTGGTGACAAGCAAACACGTTACCCATTACCCTATCCTACCGCCCCCTGAACTGCCATGTCCTCATTACTCTGAAGGTAACTGGGTTCTGAGTGAGTGAGTTTAGTTTTACGCCTCCTTTATCAATATTCCAACAATATTACGGCGGGGACACCAGAGAAGGGCTTCACACATTGTACCCACGTTGGGAAACGAACCCGGGTCTTCGGCTTGACGAGGCTACCCCACCACCCAATGGGTTCGGGAACCTACCTGAGCATGACGGGAGTGTGGAGTTGTTACGTTCAAAGTTCCACATGTACCCTGTGCTTGGTCCACACATGTACGTGATCTGGGTGGCCACACCTGACGTAAACCTGGCGTTCCTGTTGCATGCGAGACTGCACTGTTGCTCCCCACCGGCCACGTTGCGGCATGACAACGTTGCCTTGGAGGGGTTTGATAACGGAATGCATTTCGCCGACTCTAAAATACAAAATGGAGTGATCGAATGTTGTTTATGGCCGCAGTCTGCAATATTAAAGACAAGTAAACAGTCCGATTAACGAAAATCTCACCGGGGAGTATCCATAAGGACACATCGGGCATACTCAGTCACATGGCGAAATCCGATCGTTCGATATTATACAGCGACCGATTATATATCCAGACTCTTACAACATTTATGGGGAAGTAGGAACCTATTCTAACCACTGCAACCCCGCCCAGCTTCTGTATCCCCGCTTCTGTATCCAGCATATCCAGTACAACACGAGTAAAGAGAGTCAATAATGAATTGAGAACTCCAAATGATTATTCTGAGATCCAGGGACATTCAAACTAAACACACATAACCAGCGTGATGTAGCTCACCGATGCAATCTTTCTTGTTGGGATGGAGTTTGAACCCGGGTCGACACACACAGTCATAACCACCAATACGGTTCGAACATGAATGTGCGCAGTCGCCATTGTTGATGCTACACTCGTCAATGTCTGCAAACAAAGGGTATTAAGTGAGTCATGTTTAACAAACGTTGAAATCCACATCAACTAAGTCTGGTAGAAAACTGTGCGTTTGTCCGCGATATAAAGACGACAGTGTTGACAGACACGTTCCTGGTCCAATGGTTAATACCGTCAGTTTTACGGAACTGCCATTGTGGCATTATACACAATCAGAATGGCATTGTACACTACCAACATGGCACTACATACTCCCAGCATAACAATATACACAACCAATTGGCATTATCCTCAACCAACATGGCGGTTTAGAGTATATTATTTAGATCATTATTCTCTACCAAGTACCAACATGGCAGTATACGGTACCATTATATCATTATACGCTAGCAACATGGCGGTATAATTACAAACGGGGCATTATACGCTACAGTGTCAGCATATCAAGGAGCATCATACACATTGTACATATGTAGTTACCTGCACAGTGAGTGGATCCATACATCTGGTAACCAGGGCGACAGTTGCACTGGAAACTGCCAGGAGTGTTGACACAGACGTGGTCACATGTATTGTTGAGGGCACACTCGTCGATGTCTGCAAAAGAGAGGTGTACTCAATACAGCTTTCATATTTGGAATAAGCTATCACTGGTGTTTATGTCAAACATTCATTAGACTTGAATTCCCCCTTAGATGTCACGTTAATATTCGTCACGAAGACAGCTATTCCCCCTTACATGGCACGTTAATGGTCACCATAGAGACGGGAAGTCACCCTTAGATGTCACGTTAATATTCGTGATTGAGACGGTAATTCCCTCTTACACAACACGTTAATATTCGTCACGGAGACGGGAATTCCCCCTTAGATGTCACGTTAATATTCGTGACTGAGACGGTAATTCCCTCTTACACAACACGTTAATATTCGTCACGGAGACGGGAATTCCCCCTAGATGTCACGTTAATATTCGTCAAGGAGAAGGGAATTCGCAATTACATGACACGTTAATGTTCGTTATGGGGACGGGAATTCCCCCTTACATGGCACATCAGCATTCGTCAAGGAGATTTGAACACGCCCTAAAATGACATGCTGCTAGTTATGAAAACATGTCATGGGACCAACTATGTTTAGGAGCTCAAAAGACAATCACCTGTACACGACTTCTGGTCAATGTTGACCTTATACCCTGCCGGACACACGCACTCGTAGCTCCCCCTGGTGTTGATGCACTGATGACTGCATTGGCCATTGTTAGACAGACACTCGTCCACATCTGAAACATTCGGTACACCTTACCATGCACAAAAGGTCAGGGGATACTGTTCAAAAACATCAATAGGGCATCAAGAGACAGTCAACTCCAGAAATAGCAGTTTCAAAAGGGACATTTTCGTTGAATGAATATGAATTTACATAGCTTTAACACTATTCCAGCAGTATCACGTCGGAGAACACCAAAATATGGGTAACACACATTGTAACCATGTGAGGAATCGAAGCCGGGCTTTGGTATTGCTCAAGGACTCTTTAACGACTGAGCCAAAGCGCCGACCCCAAAAAGTTGGCAAAAGTATGCATTACAAAATAGACGAGTGAGTGAGTTTACGTTTACGCCGCACTCAGCAATATCCCAGCTATATGGCGGCGGTCTGTAAATAATTGAATCTGGACCAGATAATCCAGTGATCAACAGCATGAGCATCAATCTACGCAATTGGGATACGATGACATGTGTAAACCAGGTCAGCGAGCCTGACACCCGATCCCATTAGTTGCCTCTTACGACCAGCATGGGTTACTGATGATCAATTCTAGCCCGGATCTTCACGGATGACTAAATATTAAACTACTCATATCTCCCCAAGACATTACACTATGCAACGTGTTGCTAATAGCTAATAAGACATAAAAAATTACTGAAGGAACTAAATGAGACTATAATGAAATGTTAGTTGAGACTAAACTACAAGCAAGACAGCAAAGGCGATAGATGAAGAGGAACAAGACCTACCAGACGGCGAACCTTCACCCACAAAGAATAAGTATAAAGGATATCTATCGGAGTGGCAACATGTTCTATCGGCCGCATGTTTAATTACGAGTGATAAGCAGAGTATTTATTGTTGGATACAGCATACACCGATTAAAGAGATATTGCGATATAGTTAGACCTGTGATCTTGCGAAATAATAATGAATTTGAGTATATAAATACCATCCTCGAATGTAAGAGCATACTTTCACAAAGTAATGGATCAAATTGTATTCGTTCCAAAAATGTTTTCTCCACATACTCTTTTTAAGAAAAACAACTTCTTTTGTTTAATAGGAGCGGCAAAACCCTTTCCACATCCATAAGAAATATCTGCTAAAAACATTCCAATGTATAAAAAGTATGCGTCATACAAAAGCATGGCGTCTTTTAATGAACGGTTTCCATGACGCTCGGGATTTGTGATGACTAAGTTTTACGAAAGAAAAATAAATATAATACTAGTATTTATATTAGTTACGCTGTCAGTCAAGATATATTCTTTCATGAAGGAACTAAACATAAAAGTGTGTAAGTGAATGTGTTGACATTAAGGAAGCTTAATTTAAAAGTAAAGACTGCTTTTTATTGAGACAAACATTCGATTACAATTTATAAGTATTAGCAAAAGTTTATTTTAGGATACTTTGACGATATACGAAACAATGACAGCTGTTATTTTATTGAAGCACAAAACTTATTATGACAAGCACTTACGTTACTGTGTCGATATAAGCGAATGTTTATTATAATACAATGAAAGCTGTTAGTTTACTAAGGCACAGAACTAGTTATGACAAGCAAATAGGTTACTGTGTCGATATTAGCGAAGGTTTATCAAAACACAATGACAACTTATATTTTACAGAGGCAAAGGCCTACTCATGAGAATGATGTTACTTTGTCGGCATAACCCAAGATCTATTATAAAACAATAGCTGATATTTTACTGATACAGAGAACTAATTATGCGAGGAATCTACGTTAGGCTACTGTGTCCATACACAGGCAAACTGTAGCGCAAATAGGGTTGCGCAACAGAGAGAGAAATGACAGCGAATATAGGAAGACTGGTAATTTTCTCTCTGTTGCGCAACCCTCTTTGCGCTACAGTTAGCCTGTGGTCCATATGATCCAAAGTTTTTAATAAAACAATCACAACTCTATTTTACCGACACAAATGAGAAAGGGAAGTACTGTGTCGATAAAATTCAGGGTTAATAAAAATAACAATGACAGTACATTTTAAGGAGATACTTTATCTAAATATGTGAAGAGGATTACTGTGTCCATATAACCAATGGTATATCGTAGGTAAGACTAAATGGCAGATATTATTTCTATAAGACAGAGAACTTATTAAGAAAATAATGCTGGATATTAAACCGATATAAATAAAAGTTTATCCAAAGAAATGACAGCTATCATTTTACAAGGCTATGGGCTGATTTAGAGAAGAATGTAAGTTATAAGTCTATATTATCACAGGTATAATGGCCGATATAATTTCGATGAGTTAAACAGCTTATTATGAGAAGAAAGTCTGGTATTATTTCAATGAAGTCAGTTGTTTGGTGGCAATGATGACAATGTGTTGTGGAAGACGTGACATACCGAGGCAGTTTCTGCCGTCCTGATGCAGCTGATAGCCCCGGGGACACGTGCAGTGAGGCCCGTCAGCAGTGTCAACACATTTACGCTCACAGCCCCCGTTGTTAACGCCGCAAGACGCTGCAGGAGAAACAGCCATACGTCGTCATAGATCGCCCGCAGACCGTTAACACTGCCCCCAAAGCAATAGCACCTGACAGATTCATATATACTTTCATATCAAAGCTGCATTTACAGCTGTGTCTAAACCCCTTATTGAAAACCAACCAACGACAATCATAGTAGAGATCTGGTGTAGAGTTTGAGCAGTTTCATTCTCACGTTATTGACTGTGGGTTGTTCTACGGGAGGCTGTCGAGGTATATAGAAGTATAGTGGACAGAAAGAGACATGCGTCTAGGCCCCAGAGAAGACTACCCAGTCTAACCCATGCATACGGAACAGTCGGTGCAGGCGTGTGAAGAGAAGAAGACTGAACACAGTCTAGATTTTTACGACAGAAATAATTAACACAGGTAACTCACATTGAATAATGTATGGACTTTTTGTAGCCGAAGTCACTCATTGCATATTTACAACCATTCTGCAATTAGGCTAACTTCAGTGCTTGTATTCGAAACGAACATATTTTTCATAACTTAAATGTGTTTGTATACTTAAAGAAAGAAGAAGGGAAATGATAGTAAAAGAAGTTGTTTTGTTGTTGAATTTGCTATTTACCATATTTGGCAGTGCATTAAATGCATATGTGTTAAAAGCATTTTATTCAAAACAACAGAAATCATGAACTTCTACATTTTGTTTCTGTTTCGATCAATGTGTAACACATTACCATGGCATGTTCCACAACGAGTATTGTTTCAGAGACGAGATGCAACGGGGTGAATAGATAGAGTCTACAATAGAAATTCCGATTCTTTCGTATAATTTGGCAATGGAGCGTAATGTTATCCAAAGATCCCCTGACCCGCGGTAAAGCCGTGTGTAGGTGGTATGGTTTGACTCACCCTCCCATACAGACCTTGATGCACTAAGCTAGAGAACCTGTCACCTACCGATGCAGGTCTTCTTGTCGTCCCTCAAGACGTATTTAGCAGCGCAGGAACACACTGAACCATCCGGGGTGTCTTGACACTTGTGCTGGCACCCGCCATTGCCGACCTGGCAAGTCTCTGAAGAGGAAATATTATGGAGATTGAACGTGGTTATATCGATGACTTGTGAAACTAGATGTTACGATACAGTCCTTACTTCAACGCATTTCAAGAATAGCAATTACTACCAATCTGGACACCTCGCTAGGCGATGGGTCTCACGTTGGTTAGCGTTCTGACTGATCCTATGGTAAGAATCGAACAGAGTGCCGTATCAGAGAAGCGAACGTACAAACTGTTGACACTACAAACGCACGTGCGCGCGCACGCACGCACGCAGTTACATACACAATCACAACCACTACTTGGAGCAAAGCCTACTGGAACTAGTTCCCTAGTTTCACTCATCCACGTGACTGTCACATAAGGTAATCTTGTTTTTCTCTTCAACATTGCGCTTTCCTGTAAGACCAATCCCCTAATCACGTAGAATCTGTGAGTGGCGAATTAGACAAAGTGACCAAAACGTTTTCAATCCAATACACCTTTGCAACTCAAGGAGTAGAAAGTTTTCGTCCAAATAACTTTAATCTAAGTTTAATGAGATGATACTTTCAAAATATTAGGAAAACTTAAACATCATGACTTGAACATCACATGATTTAATCTAACCTTTAAAATCGTCAAATGGGATGTAGGCTAATATCATTTTTAGAATTTAAGAATATTTGCTACTTACGAATACAATCTTTGCCATTTTTGTGTATCCGGTATCCGTCTCGACATGCGCAGATGGTGCCTGCCTGGGGTGTTGTTTTGCAGTGGTGAGCGCAGCCCAGGTGCTGTCGACAATATGTTCCTACTGCACAGAACACACTGATAACACATATAATGGCTGACCAGTGGATAGTGGGTTCGAATCCTGGATTCGGCTTTCACGAAAAGCATGAAGTATAAGGGATCTCTACTCTGTGATACTGTGTCACTGTTGACCAGCATTAACCATTGTTTAGCAACGGGTTTAATTCAACTTTAATACGTATTTCAGTTACATCATAGTGTGATAGCTCGAAATAAAACAGAAGCGCGAGTGTAAGAGAATAGATATGATTCTGAACAAACTTGGACCATCGCGAACAAGTATACGGACTCACGACCACGTGGTGCCGACAAAACTAGAAACATCAGCGAACTGAGACTCGAACCCAGAACCTAAGTTTTCGAGGGTAAAAGAAATAGAAACATGACCTATCCACCAAGGAGACCAACAAAACACCATTAATTTTTGTCGTTCGTTAACATCAGAAACAAATATCATTTCCAAAGAATGCAAATATTGTTAAACAAAAGATAAATAGAAACGCCATATCAGTTACTTAGACAAATGAGTATACTTTCTACGGACGCTGACATACATTTGCAGCTCCTTCCGTTCTCCTCCAGTGAGTAGCCGGCGTGACACTTGCATTGGTAGGATCCTACCGTGTTCTGACACTGCTGTTGGCAGCCTCCCTTGTTCTCAAAACACTCGTTCTTGTCTGCAGACAGAAAATACAAATGTATAACTTCCTGTCACCGTTAAGCTTTGATTATCAGTGACTTGGATTCAAACCCGCTTTAACCAGTTGACCACCCAAATCCCGACGCGTCTGCTCTCTGTGTTAAAGGTGAAGACGATCACTACAAACAGCCTCTAATGCTGTCAAACAAAACATCAAAATCGGAATGAAACTGGGAGTCGAACCCAGAACCAGCGTATCCGGGCACATTGCATAGAGAAGATCTCTTAGTTTTCACACATGACAAGTACAGAGTCTAGACGTGGTGATAAGGTGAACAGTTAACCGACCACAATTCCTTCAGCCATCAGTAATACATCGGAACCACCGGTTTAACTACAGGGCACTCCATCGCCATGGAAACAAAAGTAGTAATCTGTGGACCACTGTATTTCACTCAGCTTTTACGCCGCTTTTAGCAATATTCCAGCAATATCACGGCGAGAGACATCAGAAATGGGCTTCACACATTGTACCAATGTGGCGAATCGAAACCGGGTCTTCGAGGTGACGAGCGAACGCTTTAAATAACCACTAGGCTACCCCACCGCCCAAGGGGAGGTAAATAGCTTCGGTGACATACACACGCGGTCGTGGTGATCTTTTGTGTCATTGGACCCAGACAATAATTTGTCGAACTTTAGCTTGTATAAAGTAGCTTCAGTAATGATGTCATGTTTAGACGTATGTTTTAGAATTACTTACCCTTGCAGTCGTGGCCATCTTTGGTGAGTTCGAACCCAGCTAGGCAGCTGCAGGAATAGTTGCCAGGACTGTTCTGACACGAGTGTACACAGCCGCCGTTCTCAAACTCACACTCGTCGTCGTCTGAAGATAAAAGTGGCAAGACGATGCATAGTTTAAGCTGTTGTTCAATGAAGAAATATTCCACCTTTAGGGCCGCATCCGATAAGGAGGGTCCCCCGCCATCGGGGAACGATGCCCCGCACCTTGGCAAACAGATCCAATTTGCTGACTCCAAAGTCCAGCATATATTGCTGGGTACCTATTCTTATGCCAAATCCAAACCGGGGATGAGACAAGCAGCATTTTCCTTCCCATTCCCACTAGATGTGTGTCGGTAACGTGAACTCAGGAATGATTTTTAAAGCTTGTAATAATATTCCATCTATATCACGATGTCAGCCTGTGATGATCTGAACTTGGGCCTCTTAGTATGCCTTCACCCACTATACCAATCCGAACACCCCAGAATGAATGAATGTTGTTTTACGATGTAATCAGCAGTGACAATTCTCCTGTGGCCATGTACGATGTAACATCAAGACTGTTGGTTGGCCATTCTTCACAATCAACAGCCATTTACTTCTCATAGTCAGGATCCATTATAACCATCCAATCCTCATATATATAGATTATATGACTTGAAATGTTGGTTTTAGCATTATTACAACTATACGACCGAGAGGAATAGTGTTTACGTATATCAATAAGATATAACATTGAACTGAAACAAACAATCTGACGAAAGTGTACTCACCAACACATATCTTCCCGTTTCCATAGAAACCTGTTTTACAGCGGCACTGGTATGATCTTCTGGAGTTGAGACACACTGCGTCCCTATGGCATGTGTGGGTGCCCCTCTCACAGTCTTGGCCTGCAATACAAAACCCCGGACTTCACACAATGGACGTCACGTGAACATCAATGGTACTCAACTAAACTAGAACATTAGGTGTAATTGATCTTGAACGAAAACATGGCAAGGGCACATGCTTGACAAAAGACATATCCGAAATAGTTTACACAGACATAACAGGGGGCACCTGCTTGACAAGAGGAACACTCAAGACGATGTACTGAGATGATAAGGGGGAACCTGCTGGATTAGAGGAATATTTGAAATAGTTTACACTGACATGACAACGGGCACACTCAAGAAAATATACTGTCATGACCGGGGGCACCTGCTGGACGAAAGGCACACTCGTGACGATATACTGATATGACAGGGGAACCTGCTGGACTAGAGGCACACTCATGGCAAGGGCACCTGTCGGACTAAAGGCACACTCAAGGCGATAAACAGACATGGCAGGGGGCACCTGCTGGACTATAGGCACACTCAAGGCGATATACTGACATGACAGGGGGCACCTGCTGGATTAGAGGCACACTCAAGGCGATATACTGACATGATTGGGGCCACCTGCTGGACTAGAGGCACACTCGTGATGATATACTGACATGACTGGGGGCACTTGCTGGGCTAGAAGCACACTCGTGATGATATAATGACATGGTAGGGGGCTCTTGCTGGACAAGAGGCACACACGTGATGATATACTGACATGACTGGGGGCACCTGCTGGACTAGAAGCAGACCCGTGATGATATACTGACATGAATGATGGCACCTGCTGGACTAGAAGCACACTGATGATGATATACTGACATGACAGGGGGCATCTGCTTGACAAGAGGAACACTCATTATGATATACTGACATAACAGGGGGCACCTGCTTGACAAGAGGAACCCTCAAGACGATGTACTGCTATGACAGGGGGAACCTGCTGGACTAGAGGCACGTGGGGGTGGGTATTGCAGAGAATTTTCATATTGTGATATATTGCGATGCGCAAGCATATATTGCGATATGTATTGCAATATATTGCAGGAAGTTAATGCTTGATTTATAAAGCAAAAACACAACAAAATCACTATGCCTGATTAAGCTTTAATAAAATGTACGCATGACTTCCGGTGTAAAAAAATCGTTTTCGTATCAACTTTCCATGTCTGAACCAGTATATACCGGTTAAACCGGTTATATTGCGCAGCCCTATATACTGACATGACAGGGGGCACCTGCTTGACAAGAGGCACACTCATGGTGATATACTGACATAGCAGGGGGCACCTGCTGGACTAGAGGCACATGCAAGGCGATATACTGACATGGTAGGGGGCACCTGCTGGACTAGAGGCACACTCAAGGCGATATACTGACATAGCAGGGGGCACCTGCTGGACAAGAGGCACTCATGACGATATACTTAAATGGCAGGGGGCACCTGCTGGACTAGAGGCACACTCAAGGCGATATATTGACATGGCTGGAGGCACCTGCTGGACTATAGGCACACTCAAGGCGATATACTGACATGACAGAGGGCACCTGCTGGACAAGAGGCACAGTCGTGATGATATACTGACATGGTAGGGGGCTCTTGCTGGACAAGAGGCACACTCATGACGATATACTGACATGACTGGGGGAACCTGCTTGACTAGACGCACACTCAAGGCGATATACTGACATGGAAGGGGGCACCTGCTGGACTAGAGGCACACTTAAGGCGATATACTGACATAGCAGGGGGAATCTGCTTGACAAGAGGAACACTCAAGACGATGTACTGATATGACAGGGGGAACCTGCTTGACTAGACGCACACTCAAGGCGATATACTGACATGGAAGGGGGCACCTGCTAGACTAGAGGCACACTTAAGGCGATATACTGACATAGCAGGTGGCACCTGCTGGACTAGAGACACACTCAAGGCGATATACTGACATGAAAGGGGGCACCTGCTGGACTATAGGCACATGACGATATACTGACATGACAGGGGGCACCTGCTGGACTATAGGCACTCTCAAGAAGTTACACTGACATGACTGGGGGCACATGCTGAACTATAGGCACTCTCAAGAAGTTACACTGACATGACTGGGGGCACATGCATGGCAACAACCATACTCCAAACGATGTACCGACATAGCACGGTTAACAGTGAAGTAACGTGAACTCTAAATCTAGAAAGTTCACTCCATTCACACAGTTCTCCGCCGTCGTCTGTCATCGCCACTGTAACCACTATTTCCCTGACGAGCGAGGCGCTAATAAAAGCCCCATTTAACTGTCTGGTAGCGATCACCTGGCTGACGTACAACCGGCACCCATCACTCACGACACAGACTGGAGGAGCGTTTACAGTCAGCCTCAAGATGTAACCAGTCCGAATGCGAGCTACAATGGCGTTAATTACAAACAAACATGGTGGATGAGCGAAGGAATCCCAGCTGCAAGTGAGCTCCACACAGTAAACACTTTTATCTCTGCATACAGGAAGAGATCTTGTCATAGACAACGGGTCTTTTTTCACTACTTTCACATTTATTACTGAGAAGCTGAATAAAACATTTTATAACTAAGTCTGTAAAGCTGTTCATTGACGGGGAGTGAGATACAGATCTGGGTATATGGAATTAACGAAAACTAGACACTTGGCATATTGAGGTGCCGCATTTCATCATCAAAGGAACGAGATGAACACATTAAGAAAGCTGAGTAAATCAAAATGGGCTTAAAAGCACAACCAAACTTATATTCCTGTGAGAGTCTAGACACATATGCCGGTCCTGTGTTGTATCTCATTCACGGAATTTTCACCACAGGCTTGTCTTCGGCGTCCACTGGTTTTGGTGGATGATAAAGACGTCTAACTGTGACGATTTTTATTCTCTTTTGTTATGACGGGATTCCATCATATAGCGAAATTTCGCTAAACTGGACGTTATTTTTGCAAATTGTCAAGGGTAACACATTCCCGAATAAACTAACCACGTGTTTGCAGTGACGTCACTCTGTACATACATTAACGTTACAAATGTATTCCGAGTTCCGGAAAAGAGAGATTTAACAGAACTTGAAATTAAAGTTGAAGACATTTTTATCTATGCACGTGGGTTGTAAGTAGTGAAGAGTGAATGTGTTTAGTTTTAAGCCGCTTTTCGCCATATTCCAGCAATATCACGGCGAGGGGCACCAGAAATGAGCTTCACACATTGTACCCATGTGGGGAATCGAAACCGGGTCTTCAGTGTGACGAGAGAACGCGTTAACCACTAGGCTACCACACCACCCCTATAAGTAGTAAGGAATCATACGGAAACCCTTTCCACTGAGTGAGTGATTGTGTTTGGATTAACGCTGTTTGGAACAGCCTGTCTAAATCACGGCGTGTCTGATGAGGGATAGTCTGTCATACAGACCCTGAATTAAATATACCCGTGAAGGTCCGGGTTAGAATATTGATCTTCAGTAACCCATGCTTGTCGTAAGAGGCGACTAACGGGATCGGGTGGTCAAGCTCACTGACTTGGTTGACACATGTCATCGGTTCCCAATTGTGCAGATCGATGCTCATGCTGTTGATCACTTGATTGTCTGGTCCAGACTCGATTATTTACAGACCGCCGCCATATAGCTGGAAAATTGTTGAGTGCGGCGTAAAACCCAACTCACTCACTCACTCATACAGACCCTGAAGTAAATATATCCAAGAAAGCCCACGCAAGTCTAGAAAATGTGGCAAGTCTAGATTTCCACAGCTTCAGGCTGAAAATGAAGAAAGTCTCAGGGCTCCTTTTCATTATATTTTATTTTTTGCACTATTAGCTTTTTTTCTGTAAAATGTTCATTTCAGAGACAAGTTGTTAGTCTAGATGAGAGATGAAAGGCCAAGTAAATATAACTCTGGTGAACCTGGGACTGGAGATAACAAACCAAGAAACATATAGGAACTTGGATTCAAACCCACGATCATATTATGGCACGCATCAGAAACGCAGCTATGCACAGCGAATCGCAGCGCTGTAGTCGACTTAAGTTGCTTATCAAAACTCCCGTCCACAAACGGTACAGCTGTTCGGTATATTTGTTTCTTACGGGTTATGTGTTTTTCGACTTTAAAACTGTCTAAATTGCCCCGACATAATTGAAAGATGCAGTAGATGGGCATACAAGTGTTTGATAAAGATACACGACTCTCGTTTTCTACACACATCCCCTGATCACTTGTCTGATAAACCTCTTAAGAAAATAACATTCCTTGGCATACATTAGTCAAGAAGTCAAACCCATAGATGCGTTCTCTTTCTTCAAATATTTTACACGTATATTCCATGTCGTTTGAAGAGATCTGGGGTTATGGGAGTCGTTGAGATCAAAGGAAGGCACTTGAAATAAGAAGCTGATACAAACTGGGCACCTATCACGGCTGTGACATTGTCAGCTGAAACGTATCTACTGCGCATCACAGTGTTGTGTAACTGACCTCCTAACACCGCCTTAGACTCACGTCGCTGTGTGGAGCCTGCGATAGGCGGGCCGCTTAATGAAAGCTACTAAATCATAACCGCTGACACCTATTTGTTAGACTATTGCCAAAAGGCATGTTTACCTGCCTACTTATTGAGTAAAATAAACATAACATCCTCTGTCTCTCTGATAACGCCATTAGATCATCAACAAGTCTTTTTTCTTGTTTTTATTTATACTGTCGTTGGGTGGTCGTCAATTTTAATGTTTAAAATGGTCTAAGTTTGCATACGTAGGTTTTTCCGTCTCCGGGAATAAAGAGAATATTTTACTTGGGATCACTGAGCACTGCATAGGGCCTGAGTCTTCAAATTTCGCATATCCTAGTGGGTTCTTTGCAAGCCTGTATATGTAACACTCGTAAACGTGTCCTATGTCCCCTGCGTTGTAAGGAAAATATCTTTTTCCCGTGATGCAAGGAGAACTGAGTTTACCGTAAACATTCCTATACATTAAAACCAAAGCTCCCAGAAAAATAGCACAAA